GGCAGGGCCCACAAGCAGGGGAGATAGCTGGGCTGGGTGGGGGGTGTCTCCTGGTGTCCTCAGTTACAGGGGGTACTGGATCCCAAAGGATGAGTTTCAGTCTGGATTTGTGATTCTCACCTGTGGGCAGTCCCTGCAGCAGCAGCTTGCATTCATTCATGTGGCTAAACTGATGACCACTTTTAGTTTCTTTCTTTTTTTTTTTTGGTGGTACTGGGGTTTGATTTCAGGGCCTCACCATTGCTAGGCAGGTGCTCTTACCACTTGAACCACTCTTCCAGCCCTGATGACCACTCTCATTTGCAGCAGACATGCAACCAGAGCCCGGAGTGGCTGTGCTCAGAGGACAGAAGGAGACCCGAGATAGGCCTGCTGGGGAGATGGTGGAAGGCACCCCTCTGCATCCTTTGCATCCTGTGCTTGGAGTTCCTGGAGGTCACCCTGCTCTTCCCCAAGAGCTGGGCCAGCACTTTGTAGGGGAGGACAAAGAGTCCCCAGGCAGAGACCCAGCTGGCCCTCCTGGTGGTGGCTCTGATGTGGAGCCCCGGACAGTCCAGGCCAAGCCTAGAGAAGACCTGAAGGGCGCTGTGCCCAAGGCAGCTGATGCTGTGAAGGAACCACTCCCTCAAGACTTGGAACCAGTGCCCAAGCCAGACCCTGCTGGGGTACCCAGGAGACCAGAGAAGCTCCCTGCTGAGGAAGTTCCCAGGCAGAGCCAGGATGACTTTGGTGAAGATTCCCAAGAAAAAAAGAAAACTGGAAAAGAAGAAGTAGCCACTGGGGCTGACATTCAGAAAGAGGATAACCATCCTGTGGCAGGGGATGGTGCAGAGGCTGGGGACCCTCACATGAAGCCCAGGAAATTGAGCCGAGACCTGGCACCTGTTGTAGGCCCATCTAGCAGGCCAGGAGGAATGGCTCCTCAGCCCCAGGCTGCGTTGGGTCAGCAAGAACCCCCGGCCATGTCTGAGAGGGGCCAGGATGGGCACCCAGAAGCAAGAAAGGCGGCACATGGAGGGGGCCATGCGCCTGCTCCTTATGAGCAGCAGAGAGTGAGGGAGGGTGCTGCCATGCAAGATCCCAAGCAGAGGCCAAACCCTGAGCCGGGTCCTGGACTAGCTGTCCCTGGAGGTCAGAAGCCAGACAATGCCAGACCTAACCGAGACCTAAAAGTACAAGCCGGCTCTGACCTTCGGAGGACACGGCGGGACCTTCCCTCTCGTCAACCTGGGGAGCTGGCTCCAAAGGACGGGATCATCATCAGCTTTAACCCCTTGCCTGAAGTCCAGGTGAATGATCTCCGCAGTGCCCTAGACACTCAGCTCCGCCAAGCTGCAGGGGGCGCATTGCAGGTGGTCCACAGCCGGCAGATTAAACACTTGCCTACAGTTCTGGAGGAGGCTTGAGCACACACAGCAAGGGCTGTGGCTGGGTAATGGCTGCCATCCTGTCAGAGACTTGTGTCTTCCCTGGCTGTATCCTGATCGGATATGGAGATTGTGCCATGAGGGTCTAAAAGGTCACGTAGTCAATGGCTTTGTTGCCCGATGTTTTTCCTGCCATATCACACCACTTATCTGAGGCCTCTAAACTTCTGCAGCTGGAGCTCACGCCGGCCCAGGAGGAGAAATGGCTCTTGCCAGGAGCTGGCTGAGCAGTACTGAGGCTCAGACTCCTCAAGGGTCAGATTCACCGCTGTGGTGGCAGCACTTCTGTGTCTGTTCAGACTTGCCTGTCCCTGCCCTATTCAAGTCAAGCTGCACCACTGGCTGATGTGGCCGGTGCAACTTGCAGCCTCTGTGATAGCCTCTTATTCCTCAGTTATTTTGATGTGTTGCATATTCGCCACCACGCTGTGGGAGACCTTCATTCAGTAAGCACCTCTCTTGCCCTCCAGGGGTGCTGCTCAGTATCCAAGAGGTCCAGGGGGTAGGTGACTGACCTGGTGGGGTTGCAGGGTGTGCACTCTCCCCGTGGTCCATTCTTTGAAAACAATTGTGAAATTAAAAAATAAACCACCACTGATAATCTGGTAATATCTGGGGTAATAACCTAAAGGGAAACCTGTCATTGATTGACATCAAGCAGGGACTAGAGGTCATGGAGAGACAGTTCCCCAACCCAGACATCACAGGACTCTCAAACTGGGTGAGCATAACCCAGAGCTCTGGGTCGTGCAGATCCCCTGGAGGGTAATGGGCATGTAATCCTATAACCAGGGCAGGCCTTATGCACCTTGCTGATTGCAGAAGCAGACTGAGGCTCAGGTACTGTCTGCCCTGTGTCCACATGGGTTCCAGGCTGAGGGCAGGGCTTCCCCTTGAGCTGTCTTCCCTTTTCCTCTCCCCAGTGCCACTGGGGCAATCAGGGAGGGTGCAGTTATGAGGCAGAGACAGAAGAGGAGCCTGGCATCTCTGGGAACACACCCCAGGCCCTGCCACAAAGGACTTGGAAAACTACATCTGCCAGTGTTCGCTGAAGCCTTGGTGGGGCTCTACCCCAGGTTGTGCTCTCCCTGTACCTCCTGAAGTCCTTTTTCATTATAGTTTCTTAAAAGATGTCATTGGACAGCCTGAAGACTAGAAAATGAATAAACAGAATGGCAGCTGCCACAGGCTGAGCTGTGACTCCTACTGAACCCTGGGCCCTAGGTGGGGCCAGGGGCACTGTTCACACAGGAGGGACACACTCAGAAAAGGGCAGGGGCTACAGGTAACCTCCTGTCCTTCCTTCTTGACTAAATTTCAAATAATCCATTGCTCAGTGATAAAATGCCACCTGGTTAGATTTGAACTCCATTTGTTACCTTGCCAGAATGGAGTTTTTACATGGCTTGATTTTCCAGAGTACCTTACCTTGACCCAGTTTTCTTTTCCTTTCTGGAGGTCATTCTACCCTCCTCCCTGATTTGCCAAGATAACATCTGTCCTAAGAGCAGGTGGGGCAGCCCAGCCCAGTACAGATGGGTATGACTGGCCCTGCCTCTGCCATTGCTGCCCTGGGCCACCTCTCAATTCTTCCTCCTGGCTGACACCTCCACCCCCACTTCTAGTCAATAGCCCCTCAGGTAGGGAGGCAAAGCAAACTTCTTCCCCCAGAGGTCACAAAGGCCCCAGGGTGGGGCTTGTTGCCAGAACTGTGGAAGAGCAGGGCTGGCGCTCTACTTCAGGGGCACAGCCTGGTTTCTGGTCATGTGACACCTAGTGGTCCTGGCCAACACTTACAGGCTGGGCTACCAGTGAGCCACCCTTCAAGTCAGCTGTTCCCTGGGCAGACATGGATCCAGTCTACCCTTGTGCAGACCAGTGGCATGTGATACCTGCCTCTGAGTGCTCCCCTGAAGAGTAGGGACATGTGGGGACAGCAGTGTGTGCCTCTGGGCAGAGCAAGAATCCAGAGGAGCTCAGCCCTCAAAGAACTTTGTGTGGGAGCTTCTCTGCTTCCACCCTCTGCATGTCAAATAGGAGGTGCTTTTTTCCTTTTCCATTTCTCCCTGCTTTATCGCATTTTGCTAAGTAAATCCTTGCAAAAAAAAAAAAGTTTTATGTGGGAGCCATTTGCTATGGTTGAGTGTGGAGGGGCTGCCGTTTGAGTATTGAGGTGGGCCTTTTAGGCCAGGAGGGCCCCATCCTCACTGGCGGGACCAATGCCCTTCTGGGCAGCATTCTCGCCCTTCTGCCTTCTGACCCATTGGGATGCAAGTGGAGGGCCCTCATGAGACACCAACACCTTGCTCTTGGACTTCCCAACTTCCAGGCTGCCAGAAGTACACTTCTGTTCTTTCTGAATCTTCCAGTCTGTGTTCTGCTGTGGCAACCCAGATGGACTGAGACGGCATGCTGGGAGCACTCAGAGACCTATGCTGGATGACACAGCTGCAGAGGCAACAGAAACCATTCTGCTGCACCCAACACCAGTTGGGAGTCCTCATCAGTGAATGTAGTCCTGAAGACTGAATTTGGAGTGGGCTGAGGACAGAGCGATAAGAAAAGGCCAATGGAGGCTTGGGAGAAGTATGGGGCCTGAGCTGTGCTAGGCTATGAGAAGCAGCAGTGGATCCACAAACCATCTGGCAGGAAGCACCTGCCAGACCGACTTCAAGTGACCTGAGCAGGTGTACCCCACAGGGAACCAGATTTGGAAATATTCAGAGAGAAGACATGGAAGCACTAACTAGTTAGTGAGTTGTCAGAGGACTTAGAGGGTGTGGTGGATTTGGAAAATGGAGTCCATGCTGTGAGGCTTGGTCCTGGGCTGCAAGCTCCAGGCCATTTTAAGAAGGAACACTGAGTAGTTAGTGTTTCTCAATCCAATCACTGCCGGACTATCACCTCCCTCCTAACAGGCTGGCAGCAGCATGAGGGATGGGCTGTAGTGGCTCAGGATTGTCAGCATTCTGGTCCTCTTTAAGACCTGACATTGCCCTGCCCTGTGGGACAAAATTAAGAACCTTTGTACAATGGCTGGCCTCTGCTCTGTCTAGTAACTCATGTGTCTCCAGGTGAACACATGGCATTTATCAGACATGGGGTTTCCAGTCCTCAAGAAGTCAGGCAAATTCTGGAACATTTAGATGCCACATGGAGGTATAGACTATAACTCATGGGGTGTAGTGCACGAGGGCCCTTGGCCCTGCTCTCAGAACTGGGGCAGAGACAAACTGTGGCCCAAGGACAGATTGACCTCCATGCCCTAGGAGGTACAGGGACTGAGTAGTACCCATAGTACCCAGTAGGTGGCTCTCAGGCCACAGGCACTGCATTCTCTATGTGCAGTGGGGACATGTTGCATATCTAACCTTGGTTTTAGGTCACAGGTAAGGGAGACAAGAGAATGAGGTCAAGCGCCATCAGTAGCAACTGGGCTTTGGCCAAGTGGAGGCTGCAGCGGGTGGCTGTCCCTATGTGGAAGGGGCTGCAGCACACAGTTGCTAGTTGTTGCTGGTGCTGTAAACAGGACCCTCTTGGCAGCTCAGGCAACTGCCTTTTTTAGTCCAGAAAGTGCCTAACCAAGTCCCTGTGGAGGGTTCCCTCTACTACGGGCTCCTTTTGTGTTGTGTGTTGCTGGACTTCATCTTTGGTGTGTCCTGTGCACTGGCCATCAGTTCTAGGAGCTTGGCTTCAATAGACTCAGGCTAAATACTGACAGCCTTTTTAACAGGGTAACCTGTAGAACTGGCAGAGTGGCTCAAGTGGTACAGCGCCTGCCTAGCAAGCATGAAGCCCTGAGTTCAAACCCCAGTACTGCCCATTAAAAAAAAAGTGGGGTGGGAGGAGGACCCTGTGGCAGAGTTCCATGACCTAGACCTGCCAACTTTTTTTAGAGCTGAGGATGTGGAGGCAGGGTTGTATCCCTGGGAGAGGCCAGGTCCACAGACCACTCTGTACAATGAGCTGGAAACCATGAAGGATTTAATCTTCACTGATGGCTCAGTTACATCTTACTCTAACCAAGATGCTTACATAGAAAATGCTGGGAAATAAATCCCTGCTCTGCCCAAGGTTCACCCTGCTGGAAAGAAACATACTAAAACATCCAAGAACTTCCCCGCTCAGGAGCACTTCTTGTGTGCCATCAGTATGAGGTGCTTGTGCCCATGAGCAGTGTTGATTGAGGACCAGAGCTCAAGGTCCTTCCTAGGAGCCTCCCTTCAGGGTCTTCTTGGCCTGAAAAATAAAGCATTGTGTTTGAGTGGCTTATTTTCAAGTTACATGTGGCTGAAAAGGAAGAAAACTAGCACACTAAGTGCCAGATTCCACCAAATACCTTACAAGAAACTTGGGTGCTGGTGTGTAGTGGGGGCCCTGCCTGAACTCAGTCACCTGATGGTGAAGAATGGCTCCCATGTCTGAGTGAAAGTTCCACTAAGCACCGGGCAGGGACAGGCAGGGACCACTGCCAGATATCTTTATTGGACCTAGGCAAAGAAGTGTAAGGGAGGTGGGGTCACAGATGACCACATGTCAAACACTGACTCCTGGTTAGTTGCAGAAAGATGGTAGAGGAGACAGAAACCTCTACAGTGGGTGTGTCTTGTCTGTTCTTTGTCTCATACACACATACTTCTGTGAGCATTGCTAACATGAACCACAAAGAGTGAAAGTTTGGGCTGCCTGTCCCTGCTCAGGGAGTACAGTAAGGCTGGGAAACTTCCAAAAGTCAGGAAGCAAGGCAAAAGGGTTAAAAAAAAAAGCATAACTTCTGGTGACTGACACAACACTGGATGGGAGGCTGGTAACAGATTAGAGCATAGGCTGGGCCATAATAACCTTGAGGAAGGTGTTAGTTCTCCGAGTTCTTCTGGAAATGAGTACATGAATTAAGAAGGGGTGTTCCGCTGAGCTCATACCTGTAATCCTAGCTATTTGGGAGGATGAGATTAGGAAGATCTTGGAGGCCAGCCCAGGCAAATAGTTTATAAGATTCTATCTCCAAAATAACCAGAGCAAAATGGACTAGAGATGAGGCTCAAGCAGTAGAGCACCTGCTTTGCAAGCAAGAAGCCCTGAGTTCAAACCTTAGTCCTACTGGGAAAAAAAAAAAAAAGGAAAGAAGGGGCATCCTACATACTTTGCCTGTTCTGCGTAGGGCAATCGCGGAACAGTTTCAGATTCACCGAAAACTGCTGAGTTCTTGTCCAAATACCCTTCCCCTGATCCAGTTCTGCCTGAACAGCTCACTGTAAGCAGGTGACCACTGGCATACTGACCCATCCCAGACCCACTGAATCAAAGGTAAGGAAGATGGAGGCCAGAACGATGGGGGCCAAGACCCTTGTGGTCAAAGCCCCATTTGCAGGTGGCACCTCCCAGTCCTGTTCTGGAACATCAACTGTGGCCAGCTCCACCAGATTCCATAAGCCCTCCTTCTCCAGAACTCTAATGGAGATGTGCAAACTGCAGCACCCATTTATAGTAAGTGGTCACCTTCACAAGACTTTCACTGGCAGACAAGTGATCAGAGGGCCCAAAAAATGACAAAAAGTAGTGGAGGGGTCACAGGGCTGTTCCCACCGCAACCTGTCACTGCTCTGGTTAGAACAGACTCCATCCATTCTTCCTAGACTGCTGAGGTGACCTGCAGCTGTTTTCCCTCCCTTTTCTGTGAAAGGGGTGCCTGGCAGGACCCATGGTGGCACTTAACACAAGGGCACTTAGCAAGGGGGAAGGGGGAAGGGGGAGTGGAGTGGCTCAAGTGGTAGAACACCTGTCTTGCAAGAGTGAGGCCCTGAGTTCAAACCCCAGTACCGCCCAAAGAGAACATGGTGGGGAGGAGGGGGGGTTAGGGTAGCTGCAACCATGATCAAGGAAGACAGATGGTGCCCCAGAAGCCCCTCGGCGACAGCGGCTCACCACTGATACTGAGGTTGGCGGGATCCTCTCCTGCAAGCACGCAGAGAAGAGGTCATCTGGTGGAAAAGTTCCGGCAGGCCAGGGGCGACCCCGTGGAAGGGAATGGGGGCGAGGGTGTGAGAATCAACCACAGTGAGGTCTTTCCTGTCAAAGGAGTCACGTCTAACTATCACCGCGAAGACGCCAGCTACCCTCCCCGGCTGCTGCCTGCATGCTTTGTGAAACGTTGCTTGGCCCCGCACGGTTCTTGGGGTCAAAGGGCTGTTCACCGCCAGATGCCCTGATCTTAAGCTGCTTGACGAATATGCCAGCGCTCCTCCCCTCTCTGCGGGGGGCCTTGAGAAAACACTTTTCCACGAGCTGGAAAACTGCCACTGCATCGGAAAACCTCGTCCTAAGCCCAAAACAACGGCTAGCCAAGCGAGAAGACTGGGAGCCCAAACCCGTCCGTCAGCGTGGGGGGCAGAGCAGGACAAACCGAGCTGCACCCTTCGGCAGAGGTAAGACTTCTCTCTGTGCCCTGCTGAGCGACCCCACGTGCTTCTTTGATCACCGTGTGGGAAACTGGCGGCGCCCACTTACCGCGGCGGCGAAGCAGCTCCGCAGGGCCTCGAACTCCCGTGCGCAGAGATCCTTGCCCAGGCGGCCGCCGGGAGCCGCGGAGGCCTGCACGCACCTGCCGTACGCCGCGGCCTGCGAGGGGACGGACAGGTTACCGGACCTGACCACGGTCCAGGCCCTCTTCTCTCCTTCCCCGCCACCGCCCGGCGCGGCCCTTCTTGCCGCTCAGGTACAGCCGCGTCCGAGGCTCCTCACCTCGGCCCCGCAAGCTGCCAGGCGGTCGGGGAAGGCGCGGAGACGACTCCTCACACGTCCCCACACCGTCACGTTGGCCGACATGAGCAGCTCTTCCCGGCACCCGTGGGCGCCGCCATCTTAAGCCCGTCCTCTTCCGGTGTCCGACTTTTGGTCGGTAAGCGCTTCCGCCCATAATCTTTACCGCTCTTCCTGGTTGGCCAGGGTCTCCTGGTGTAAGACCTACAATTGGCTGGTGTGCTTATCTGTCTGTGGTCAGGGACTTCGGATTGGCTTAGGCTTAAAATTGTTCACGAAGCCCAATTTGGGGCCCGCCCCCTACAAGCAATTGGCCGGAGAGGCCAGAGCCATGCGATGATTGGAGAATCCAGGCCTGGCGGAAGCGGGGCAGGCGGGGGAGGTGACTTACATCATGGCGGCCGCACCTCCGCTACGCGACCGCCTGAGCTTTCTGCACCGGGTAAGTGAGGCTGGCCCGGCCCGCGGATGCCCGGGCGGTCCAGGACCCCACTCGAGCCGCGGGAATGGACTGTGCAGCCGCAGCTGAGAAGGGTCGAGTCCCCTCTGATGGCGGGAGGCTGAGGGGCAGCGGGAGACCTCGCAGACTGGGGTCCCCGGTGGTCCTCAGGTCCCGGAGATACGGTGCGGGAAGTCTCCAGTGGACAGAAGGCAGCTGGAAGCCCAATTTAGTAGGTGGTCCAAGATAGAGAGGTCAGGGGCCTGTTGCTAGCCGTTGTCTACAACACACTGTGAAGTCCTGGGACGCCGGGTGGTCCCAGGGACGCGCCTTAGGCTGCTAGAAGCCAAGCTGTGGGAGGGTCAGCCTTCTGTGTAGGGCTCCGATCGAGTTGTTCTCTGTGGCCCCATAGACCTCTGCCTGTGATGGAGACACAGGGAGGTGCCTCACGGTAGTGCGGGGTGCAGGTATTTACTGTAGGAAGACCAAGCCTTTGATCGGCACCTGGCACTGTCCACGCGTCCCCTGGGTCCACCCCTGGCCTGTCCAGACACTGAGTAATGTGAGACTAGGCGTTTCCAGTTTTTAAGAGTGATCGTAAGGAGGCAACACCCGCTACTGAGCTGAGCGGGAGCCTTGTCTCCGGAGAGCCAGCTCCACTCACATCCCTGCACTGAAAGCCACAAGCCCTTTTGTTTTTACTAGTCAAAAAGTAAGTATGGGAGATGAGTCTCATTAAGATACACTGTAAGCACATACGTAAACGTCACAGGCTGTCCCCCATGTACAGCTATTCTGTACTCCTAAAGCTCTTTTCAGAAGGTGGGGATGTTGAAGGCCCTTCAAATCCTCTTCCACACTGGTAGGCAAAGGATGCTGGGGGGTTGTACCTTGTTGTGACTTAGGTAGACGTACTCTTCCCCAGGGCCACTCATCCCTGACTTTTCCGAGCAGATCCTCTGCAGTCCCCCTGTGGCCAGATTGTGGTCCCTCTTGGGTCCTCTACCAGGCCAGCATGTCAGAACAGCGTGAGGCCCGTTTCTGTCACCTTTGGTGACTGCCGGTGTAAGTTGTTCACCATGGCCCTTGTTGCCTCCCAGCTCCCCGTTCTCCTGCGAGGAACCTCAGATGATGGTGTCCCGTGCCCTGGCTACTTGTTTGAAGAGATTGCCAGTATCCTTCTCAGTGTTCCCAGGGCCCTGCTGTGGCACGCAGGGTTATCCCAGGGGCACCCATGGCTCCTTTCTCGTAGTAGCCAGGTGTGAGTGGGCCCTGGAAGCTACAATACCAATGACTTGGGGCCCAGGAGACCCCAGAAGCCCCAGTGCTCCTGAAACCAGGCCTGCAGGGGGCATGACTTGAGGAGGCTGATGGCAATAGGAGGGCAGGCTTCTCAGCCAGCATGGCCATGGCAGCTTGCTCCTTCCCTAACCGAAGTGTGTCCCAGAAATCTCCCATGAGTCGCTGGGCAGCAGCCAGTGCCTGCTAGAGTACCTGCTGAACCGCCTGGGCAGCAGCTCCGGCCACGTGAAGCTCAAGGTGAGTACTGGAGTAGCACAGCCAGGCTGCAGCTTCCTGCTGGTGGGTGGCCAGCTGGAGGGGAGGCTGTATAGCCCAGGTCCAGCTGCCTAAATGTCCAGTACCGGACCCTACCAACACCACATGCCTCCTGATTTCCCAGGTGCTGAAGATTCTGCTCTACTTGTGTGGCCATGGCTCCTCCTCCTTCTTGCTCATCCTCAAACGCAACCCTGCCCTCATCCAAGAAGCCACAGGTATAGGGAGGTACGGGTGTGCTGAGGGGAAGCGAGGGCCTGGCTGGTAGGGAGGGGATGTTGATTGGTCTGGGTTTGTGAAGAGGGGAAAAGGGAAATTTATCTGTGCTGGAGGCTCCTGCTGAGGGAGTCTCCAAGGAGTAGCTCTCAGCCATGAAAAGATGAGGCAGAATAGTCATGTGTAGGGGCTCTGTAGAGCCCTCTGTAATGTTCAAAGGCCCCAAGGTGGGGAATTTAGTTCTTTTTTTTTGGCAGTATTGGGCTTGTAGGCAGGTGCTCTACCAATTGAGTCACTCAGCCAGCCCATTTTTGTGTTGGATATTTTCAAGATAGGGTTTCGAGCTATTTGTCTGGACTGGCTTTGATCTCTTCTTCCTGAGTAGCTAGGATTACAGGCATGAGCCACCAGCACCCACCTTGGAGGGATTTAATATGACATAAGAAAACTTGATTTGGCAGGACTAAAGCTGTTTAGCAGAGGGAGCCTCACTCTGGCTGAGACTGGGGATGAACTGGGCTGGACCAAGTGGTTTTAGGTTATGATCGAGACCTCAGGTTTTGTCATCCTGTCCCCAGGAAGCCTCTGAAGTGCTTATAGTGCATCTGGGTGGAGAATGGGCCAAAGAACAGTTAGGTGGGCAATGTACGAGCTCAGGCAGGAGGTGAGGTGGGCTCCTGGGGACACAGCAGCTGCCATGAAGGTGGATGGGAGCCCCTGTGGGAGTTGAGGAAGGAAGAGTCAGGAGTCTGTGCAGGACCCTGAGAAAGGATGTCCTGGCCAGCCATAGGGAAAAGGGGTGGGGTTGCTAAAGTGCTGCCTGGATGGAGTGGGTCTTAAAAACTTGCTCAGCCCCTTTCCCTGTCTGCCTTCTTTGCCCTGCAGTTTTTGCAGGGCCCCCGGACCCTCTTCATGGGAACAGCTTGTACCAGAAGGTGCGGGCAGCTGCCCAGGTGAGCTAAGGGTTGTGGCCATGGCCCACAGAGCAGCAGGACATGTGTTGCAATGTCTGTAGATTGTTTGTCCTTTTCTTGCTGACCGGGACTAGCTGGGCTGCTCCGGGGAAGTGTTTGGGATGGAGCAGAGCTGCTGGGGTTGGGGGACAAGACAGCAGGCTCCAGTGGGACACTGAACACCCACCTCCTTGTTTAGGACCTAAGCAGTGCCCTGTTCTCTGATGCTGTGTTGCCACTGCCTCCCTCCCAGCTACCTAGGGCCCTTCCTCCAGCAGGTATGTGACCCTGGTGACCGTGTTCAGCCTGTCATCAGGGTTCTGTCTCCCAGTGTCCTGGGCAGGGCTGAGGGGTTGCCTGTGCTGATGCCCGGTCCTCCCTTAGGTATGGGCTCTCAGGCCAGACCTCATAGCATCCTCCAGGGTTTCGGCTACAGCAAGGAGCAGGATCGAGCAGGTAAGGGGGGAGGACCTGTGTGAGGCCTCTATATCTCTGGAGTGCAGGAATGTGGAGGGGCCAAGGCTGGGCCTTGCTGTGCACCCACACACACCATTAGGCTCTAACCATCCCTGGACTCATTCCTTCCTGGTGCGTTCCACACTGTTGCTTTCTCTGCCCATTGGAGAGGAGGGCAGGTCAGGTGTGGCCAGGTCTGCTTTATAGACAGGGCCCAACTGGTGGCATCAAGGAGTTAGTAACCCTGCTAGAGGGGCTGAGATTGGTAGCTCCAGCTGTGACAGAAACATAGAGTAGTCCTGGGTGGGAGCTGTAACTGGTGGGAACACCCCATGTGGGGGCACCTGTGTTGTCAGAACAGAGAAAGCCTCTTTTTTCTGCCCCCGAGTACTGAGGTTTGGGGTCTGGTCTCAGGGCTTCATGCTTGCTAGGCAGGCGCTGTACCACTTGAGCCACTCCACCAACATGAGAAGCCTCTTTGTTGGAGGTGTATGTGGCAACCCACAACAGGGACCAAGCAACCTCAGCTGTCCCCTAGAGGGAATGTCAGGCTGTGTCTAACAGTTACTGTTACTTTTCTGGTCATGGCTGTGGGGGCTCCAGCTGACACTAATTGAGGGTATACCTTCTGCAGGGAGCTCACAGGAATGGGTGGCCCCTCTCCAGCCCTGGGCCTACCAGCTCTTAATTGAAGGGCTAAAGACAAAGATGTGTTGTACTGGGATGAGCCCCTCAGGACACCCTGGCCTTAAGCTGCTGTAAGCTGAGTCTCTTAAACCATCAGCCCTGAAACTATGCTAGGAAGCTTCCAGATGGGCTTGGGGTCCCAACCAGGAGGCCTCTGCAGCATAGATCCTGACCTTCCCAGGCCTGAGTGGGGAAGTCCAGGGGTGCTGATGCCAGCCCTTTTCTTGGTCACAGGCTCTGCAGGTGAAGCCTTTCTTTCCACCATCCAGAGGGCCGCAGAGGTGGTGGCCAATGTTGTGCGCCCTGGGCCTGAGAATCCCAATACCCAGAGGCTCCTGCCACGGGGTGACACTTACCAGCCTGCTGTGACACCTTCAAGCAGCCACAGTCATCCCACCCCTGGAAACTTGATCCCAGGGCCTCAAGGTATGGAAGGGAGAGCCCCTTCCTTGGGGTCTGTGTCATTCCTTCCTATCAACCTTGGGCTAGGGAGTTTTGTGGGTGTGGAGGCAAATAACAGTGCTGCCCGTATGGCAAGAGCCCCAGTCCCCCAGCTCAGGACACAGCCCCCTGTCTCCTGGTCCAGGGCCTCCAGGGAGGGGGGCGTGAGGTTGATCCAAAGCCATGAAGGTCTCATGTGCCATCCCTGTCTATTCCAGCCATGAGACACCAGCCTGGACAGGCTGGAGGGGGCTGGGATGAGCTGGATGGCAGTCCCAGTTCTCACAGTTCTTCCCGGGCCAGTGACCTGAGCAGGGCCTCAGACTCAGGCAGCCGGTGTGGCAGCGACACAGGGGCCAGCCGGGAGCCAGGAGAACTGGCAGAAAGGTAAGTGGGACTTGTGGCCTCCCTTCCCAGAAGGGATGTCCACCAGCCTCCTTGCTCTCCAGGCCTCACCTCAGTGTGGGGAGGGGGAGTCTGCCAGGGCACAGCCACCTTAACCAGCCATGTTCTTACCAGGGCCGAGGCTATGGCTCCAAGTGACTACCAGCAAGAGTTAAGCCTGGTGAGAGCTGTGGCCCAGGGGCCACGTGCCTTCTTGAGCCGCGAGGAGACCCAACACTTCATCAAAGAGTGAGCCGCCTACATGTGCCTGCTTGGTCCTACCCACCCTTTGAGAGAGGAGGGGATGGGCCATGGCCATCCCACCTACATGTCCCCTCCCTCGTACAGGTGTGGCCTGCTCAACTGTGAGTCCGTGTTGGAGCTGCTCCTCCGCCAGCTGGGCCAGACCAGCGAGCGTGAGCAAATGGTGAGGGCAGGAGAGCGAATGTGTATGCATGCAAATGAACATGCACCGTGTAGGGTGTGCAAAGGGGTGTGTAAGGTAGCAGGGCGAATCCCCCAGCTGATGGGAGGCTGCCCTTGAGCATTTAGGGAGGGTGAGGGCAGCCCTGTGTTGGGGCTGCTGTGTGCCTCCCATCCCTGGTCCTAGTGAGGACTTTAGTGAGGCCGCCCAAGTGGGCTTTGCTGCCATGGATAGGGAGCAACGCCTTGGCACCAACTTCCCTCCTGCCACCTGCAGAGGACCCTGTGTGCCATCGCCTCCCTCGGCAGTGCCGACCTCCTGCCCCAGGAGCACGTTCTTCTCCTCTCCCGGCAGCGGCTGCAGGATCTCAGTGCGGGTAGCCCGGGACCTGTGACCAGCAAAGCCACCAAGGTAGCTGGGGCCCATGTGCACTGGGACTCTTGGGAGTCACAGAGGCTGTCTTGGTTGTCCCTGCCCTGATGGTGGTCCCTGGCCAGGTGAAGTCAGCCCTTACCACTCTCCCAGGCCCCTCCCAGCAGGTGGTGCCTGCAGAGGGAAAGTTGTTGGGGCCCCCTTCCCTGTGCTCCCAGCACTGCAGGTGCCTGGTTTCTTCCCCTCTCTAGATGCCCCCCCAGGCCCGCACCATGTGACTTGGATTGGGGTGGGGGAGGAAAGTGAGGAGGGGACAGAAGTGTTTGTTTGTCTCCACTTTCCCCAGCACTTGCATGCCTGGAGGCCTCTCCGCCTGCCCCATCTGGCCTCCATCTGCCTGGTGACTGGTGCCATTCCCATCCCTGGCTTTTTTTTGTCTCCTGTGGCTGCTGAACACACAGCTCCTCAGTAATTGGCCAGGTCTTCTCTATCTGCTATTAATCACCTGGGTCATGGCACCCAGGGAGTCTGGAGTGCCATTGTCACAGCGGCATTGTGTCCAGTAGTTGGAATAACCAGATGCATCAATCTACATTGGTTCCCTCAGCTGCCTCCATGGTTCCCAGAAGCTTCCAATGACAGGGGATCAACCACATGTGTGCACTGGTAACAGGTGCCATGTATAGGAAACCAGCAGCACCTGACTGTGGGGCGCCTGCCCGAGCTGTCCCTACCCTCTGAAGAGGGCACTCGGGAAGGACAAGCCTCTTCCCACATAATTTCCAGAACTACACAGGAGCCTCAAGGCCTTTTTTCTTCCAGATCCTAAGGCACTTGGAGGCCTCCTGTGGACAGCGGCCCCCTGCCTCAAGGCCTCACATGGAGCCTGGCCCCGTGACTACTCTCAAAGGCCCATCCGACCTGCTGACTGACCCTGTGCCTCCCCCTGGATGCCAGGTGTTCCTCCAGCCTCTGAGCTCCACCCCAGTCTTACCCAGGAGCCCTGTGTCTACTCCATCCCTGGATGGCTGCCCCTTCCCTGCCCCTGGGGTTCTCAACGAGGCTGAGCCCCGACTGGAAGGTTCTAGTGAGATGGGGGCAGGACCTGAGTGGGCACCAGAGGGTGTGGACATCCTGAAGGGAGTTCCCAGCAGGTGCCTGTGGAGCAGCAGCTCCTTATTTGCTGGCATGGAACTGGTGGCCTGTCCCCGCCTGGTGGAGGCCAGAGTTGCTGTTGAGGAGCCTCACCTGGCTCCCCAGTTACCTGAGACAGGGCCCCAAGGGGTGTCAGCCACAGCACCTCCAGTCTCAGAGACATCAGCTTTTGCATTCTTAAATGTGTGACTATGGGCCTGCCTTAGGCATGCAGGCCTTCTCATTCTCAAAGGGCAGCTCCCAGGAACCCATGGCCTCTTGCTGGCCCCTTGGTCATGGCCCCTGCCCCACCAAGGAGTGGTTTTCCTCAGATACCTGCCAGCAGCCTCCTTGCCCACCTTCAGCTCTTCTCACTCACTGAGGTCTTGGTGTGGCAGTCCCCAAGCTGGGCCTGCCCCAAGTGGGCCTCCCAGCAGTCATAACAGTCACCAGGGGACCCACATGGCCTCTCAGTACACAGGTACCCAGGACAGAACAAAGGTGCAGGAGATGGGGCTGGGGGTCCTGTCTGGCACCCAGGAAGCCAACTCTGCTCTACCTTGTTGAAGTCAGTTTCCCAACACGTCCTGAGGCAATCTTATGTCTTCCTGCTAGGGACAGGATCACACAGGCTTTTGTGGCCTGTCTGTGGGTAGGGACCCACTTGCAAAGGTGCCAACTCTGCTGGGCTAGCATTTCCTGAGGGCTGCTGGACAAAGCCCCTCAGCTCAAGCTGGCTTTGGTCTGCAGGTAACCTGAGCAGAGAAGAGGACCCCAGGGCTACCTCAGTCCCTGTTTCCCCTCCACCTTGCCATCTCCTTTGCCAGAACCTGGATACTTACACTTGAATTCCTATAGCAGCAGACAGGTAGGTGGCAGGGCCACAGAAGTGCTGGTCTCAGGTCCCCAGGGGCAGGCCCTGCCACCTCCCCCTTCTGTTTGGTGTGGATTTGGAAGCATCTACTTGGTTCTTATTTAGTTCTGGTTTTGATCTTAGGTCCTCCCTCCCCAGGAAGGCCAGAGTAGCCACAAGTCATGGCTTGTGCAAGGCAGGGTGCTGATGAGGTGGGTTTGATGTGTGAGGGCCAAAGTAGTCCGGTTCCCTGCTACCTCGAGTCTAGTGGCCATTCCAAGTGTCTGGTCCCTGAATGACTCTGCTCGGGCTCACACTGCCCACGTAGCCACAGCTGCTTCCTGCAGACCGTGGGAGAGGCTGAGCGAACCATGCTGCTGAATAAACACTGCTGTTTACAGAAGTTGAACCATTGTCTGTTTTTGTTTTAGGTACATAAGTTTAAAAAATTTTATTTTTTGGTGGTACTGGGCTTTGAACTTGAACCATGCATGTGCATTTTGATGAAAACACCGTCAAGGGACACACATGCTTAGAAGACTTGTTCTGAAGCAGGGGCGGAACTCCCCAGGGCTGCTATCCTTGCCCTTCTTTTGTGCAGGGCAAGTTGTGAATCTTGATTGTGGTGGTTACATACCTGTTGCACAGGATGAGAGACGTAAGCTATTGCAGAGAAGTGCCATGTTCATAGACAGCTTCGATGCTTTCCAAATCACAGAGCTGCGACTTAGGGTGATCTCCATCAAAGTCTCAATTGGGTTTTTTGGTTTTGTTTTTTGCAGTGCTGGGGATCAAACCCAGGGCCTTGTGGATTCTAAGCAAGTGCTGTAGCACTGAACTATCCCTCTTAACAAGTTTTTGTGTAAAGTGACAAGCTGGTAACCAAAATTTACAGGAAAAGTCAAAATTTACAGGAAATAGTTAAGATAATTTTGAAAAAGAAAAGCCTTTACCTTTTTTCAAGATTTCTTGGAGTCTTTGCTCTCATTTCCTGTGTAGGGAACAGGAAATGTTTCTCTTTTTCTCTCTTTTCCCCACCTTATCTATACTTTAATCCTGTTACACTAAAATAAATACTTGCTAAAACTTAAAAGAATTCTTATAAAGCTGTACTAGTTAAGACTGGCATTTGTGAAAAGTTAAGACACATAAATCAGTTGGCCAGTGTAGGAACAGACCCATAAAATGCAGTCAATCTGGGGATGAACCCTGGGTGCTGTGTGTGCTAGGCAAGAACTCACCACTGACTACACTCCAGCCTGGTCAATTATTTTCTACAAAGGTACATAAGTGACTTGATGAAGGAGTCCCTTTCAACTGATAGTGCTGGAGCAATCAGACATCTGTATGCAAAAGAAAAAAAAACTTGGCCCATGTCTCACACCTTACACAAAATTTAAAGAACTATAGACCTGAAACTATCAAACTTACAGAAGAAAATGAAGGAGTTGCTGTCATTGGGTTAAGCAAATGTATTACATATGAGATAACAAAAAGCCACAAGCCATAAAAGAATTTGACTTTAAGTTAAGAAGTATGACACAGTTAAGGGAATGGAAAGATGAACCAGACATGGGGAAAAGATATTTGCAGGTCACATGTCTCATAGAAGACTGTGATACAAAGACCTTATAAGGAACACTCAAAACTGAAAAAAAAAAACCTAAATTGCAAAGCGGGCAAAAGATGTGAACACACGTCACTGAAGAAGGCGTGTGAATACACAGCAAGTGAACATAGAGATTCTCAACGGCATCAGTCACTTGAGAGATGCCATTTAAAGTCACGTGGGACACAGCTACCCACCTGTTAATAAGACAAAGAAAAAACCCCCACAAAAACCTGACAATACCAAGTGCTGAGGTGACAGGGAGCACAATGCTGGCAGGAGTGTAAGGAGTGTAACATACAACTTTGGAAAACAGGCTTTTTTTTTTTTTTTCCTTTTGTGGGACTGGGATTTGAACTCAGGGCTTCATACTTGCAAAGCAGGTACTCCACTGCTTGAGCTTGGTGAACTATAGGTCTGAAACTATAGATCAGAGATGCCACCAGTCCATTTTGCTTGGTTATTTTGGAGATGGGGGGGGTGTGTCTCACAAACCTGGGTCTGGCCTCGAACCATGACCCTCCAGGTCTCAGCCTCTCAAGTAGCTAGGATTACAGGCGTGAGCCATGGGCGCCCAGCTCAGTTTCGCCGTTTCTTATAAACCAATAGCATAGAACCCATCAATTCCACTCCTAGGTATACACCCAAGAGAATTGAGAATTTATGTTCACACAAAAGTCCATTAGCAGGGCTCGAAGTAGTAGAGTGCCTGCCTCGGCTTGAGTTCAAATCAATACCGCCCAAAAAAATTAAAAATAAAAACCTTTTAAAAAAAAAAAAGCAAGGAATGCGAAGGAGTCTGTAACGGTGCAAACACCACCCTACTATCTTGCAGGTGGGCTCTGGGAAACTGCTGCCGGGACAGCGCTTCCACCTGCCTGGGGATGGAGTCCAACCCGCAGGTCCCGCCCACAATCCGAGGCCCCACCCACATGGACGCCCGCCTCTGGAATCCCCGCCCCTTCCCAGACGTGTCCAATCAGCAGCTCGTGCCGTCGCGGGCCCCAGTTTTCCTCTGCTCCTCCCACGCTTGAACTTCATGAAGGACAGCCGAGCAGCCCAATGAGCTCTCGGGATGGCCAGCGGGAGGGCCAATCTGGGAGCGGCGCGCGCAGGAAAGGTGGGCCGGCGTGACGGACAGGGGAGGTGGTGCCAGGCTGGTTGCTAGCCGCGGCGGCTCACCTCGTTGGCCCCTGCTTCATTGTCACCCGCGTCTGAGGCAACGCTGGGTGCTGCGATTCGCCAGGTCTTCGGCCCGGCTGCTTTCTGTTCCGCTGCCCACCCGGCTGAGTCCACGGGCCCCGCGCCCCAGGCCCGGCCCGTGCAGGTGAGGGAGTCCGGGCCCCCGTAGGTGAGCTGGGGCTCGTGCCCCAGGCGAGGCCCCGCGGGGTCGGCTCGGGCGGTCGGGACCCCCGTCGTAAGCCCCGGGAGGACTGGGGCGATGGGAGCTGCCCGCGGAGAGCGGAGGGCACCGGCTGCGCCTGGGCCCTGCCTCTGCACCTCCCGGGCCGCCCACCCCCGGGGCCCAGGCGCCTTTGGGTCCTGGGAGGACATCTTTTTATCCAGGGTGAGCTTGGGTTCCCAGGCCTGGTGGTTTCCATGGAGAAGCTGTGTTTACCACCGCAGAGCCTCGCTGGCTGGCTTGGCTGCACGTGTGGCGGGGAAAGCAGGGTCCAGCCTGAGTCCAGCGGGGCTTGGCCAGTGCCAGGCAGAGGGGGTGTTAAGGTCACCCGCCCAACCGGAAATGCACACCCAGGACATTGACCAGGCCGATGGCAGAGCAGTCTCTATATATTGGGGAGCTCACCCCCTAGGCCGGGAGGTCTGCACCAAGGTAGCACTGGCCTTGGATGATAATGGGTGGGTGTGTGCGTTGGCCCATGGGACGCAGTGGCAGACCATAGTTACCCTTTCTTGTTTTGTTTTTAGTGAGGTTGGGGTTTGCATTCTGGGTTTTGCGCTTGCAAAGCAGGCACTCCACCACTTGAGCCACACATCCAGTCCATTTTGCTCTGGTTATTTTGGGGGGGGGGGGAGTCTGACAAACTATTTGCCCTGGCCTTGAACCATGATCCTACCCATCTCAGCCTCCCAAAGTTGCTAGGATTACAGGCGTGAGCCAGCACCTGCCTCATACTCACTCTTGTCATTTGACTTGTGTCCTCACTTGCTCAGCACTCACCATTCAAGTGCCTTCTTCATGCCAGGAGCCAGAGCCACACAGCCCTATGTGCTCATGGGAGTCATGCAATGTAGAAAGCCCCTTGTGTGGAGAAAGGGAGACAAATGAAGCAGGACCTGGGGAGGCAGAGGGACAGCAGGTGCAAATCTGTGCAAGGATGAGTTGGCTGAGTCTGAGAACAGTATGGAGGCAGGTTTGCCTAAAGCAGAGTGAGCACTTAGAGAGCAGGGTCCTCTCTGTGGACTTTATTCTCAGTACTCTGAGAAGCCATTTCCACTAGGTATACTGCAAGTCAGGAGTGGTTCAGAAAGATTCAAGGTGCTGTGTGAGGATGTCTCAGGGGCCAACCAGGTGGAGGGGACTGTTGCAGTTGTGCAAGGCAAAGAGTTGGCTGGGCCAGGCTTGTAGTGTGGGGGAAGCCAGGAAGCCAGAGAGGGTTCCTGGGTGAGAGGGTAGATGGAGGAGAGGGGCTGAGCCCTGGGGCCTCTGACTCTTGGAGGTGAGAAGAGGAAAAAGACTTGTGAAGGGAGACAATGAAGGTAGCCATGTGAGGAAGGGTGACAGAACTCCAGGAGCAAGAGAGCAGCTGCGACATCTCTCATGGTTGTTCCCTGGGGTTCTGAGGTGATGGAGGGATTCCATGGCCAAGTAAGCCTGGGGACCCGGGGCTTCCATAGAACTTCTGAGAACAAACACTCCTAGAATAACTGGCTGTTGTTGAGGGCTTGCCTGGTGCTGACCTCAGTCACCTCCTGACAGCCCCATGAGGAGGTTTTATGAACCCCCATTTTATGGAAGAGGAAAGTCATCTGACAGGTGGGGTATCTTGCTCAGGGTCACAGGGCTGGGGTGGGGTCATGGCAGAGCCAGGCTCACACCAGGCAGTCACCTGCACCCTAGGTCACTCCAGGCATACTGGCCTCTGCTGCTTGCCTGCCTCAGAGCTCCCTGCTCAGCCACGCATCGCCATGGGGTCTAGGCCAGCCCTCTGGTGTTCCTGTTTAGGAGCCTGAGTCCCCCCACAACTCCCACAGTGAGAAGGGCACATGGTCAATGGCAGGCTTCCAGATGACAGGTGGACCCAGGTGTCCTGGGAGGGCCAAGGCTCTGCCTAAGGTGGTAGGCACAGGGACTGGTTCCTTCAGGGTGTCTTACTGCCTCTCTCACCTCCCTTCAGGGCCCATCTCGTCTACCATGAAGGGCTCAAGGGCTATCAGTGAGGCTACTGAGGGCACCCCAGAAGGCATGGACCTGAGTCTGATTGGTCTCCCTCCACCAATGTCTCAGCATCCCAGCAGTGCCTCTGCCACCAAGCCCATCGTCAGGTCTGTCTCCATAGCCACGGGCAGTGAGCCAAGGAGAAAGACACTGGTGAGTGTGGGGGTCAGAGTAGGGTCCAGTAATGGAGGTGGCACCTGGCCTCTGGATACAGTTCCATACATGAGCACCTGCCTCACATCCCTGGCCATCTGGGGCAGGAAGGATCTGGACCTCACCTGGAGCTGACTTACAAGAAGGTCAAGGCCATTGACTGACCTGAGGTAGAGCCCACACCCTTCCAGGCTCTGCCCCTCCTATTCCACTGCCCTTGGAACTGATTTGTATCCTTGAGAAATGAGGTTGACCTATGGGGAGGGTGATGAGCTGTGTGATCTTGGAGAAACCTGGATGGATGGCAGGTGTGCACAGGTGGGCACAGCTGGGCAAGGTAGCCAGGGGTGGGGGCTATGGGGCCAGAGCTACCTTTCCTTTATCTGACCACTTCCATAGGCAAGGGACAAGGGCATCACCAACAGATTAATAGAGCTGTCTGTGAGAGGCCAGGGTGGGCTGTTGCATCCCATGAGTTGCTATCTGCGAGCCTTGTCTCCAGGCAGTTCTGTGAGGAGCAGGGTGGTACTTGAGTTTGGCCTAAGCTTTCAGAACATGGAGGGGCCTGGGGGCTTGGGTCAGATGCTGTAGCCAATCCAAGGCTCCCTGCCTGAGGAGAGGTCCATGTGGAGGTTGGGGGTATAGATGATAGTCTCAGTCTCCCTGTTGGGCCAAGGTTGAAGTTCCCCTTTGGATAAAAGGCTCACCCCTCCCTTTGCCCTAAAAAAGCCCTTTTTCTTTTTTTTTTTTTGGTGGTATGGAATTTGAGCTCGAGGCCTTGCTGGGCAGGCACTCTACCATTTGAGCCATGCCCCCGGCCCTTTTTGTTTTAGTTATTTTTTGAATAGGGTCTCACATATGACTGGGTCAGCCTGAACTGTGATCCTCCTATGCTTTACCCCCAACTTTTATTGGTTGAGATGGGGTTTCTTGAATTTTCAAAAAGGCTTTCATTCTGTGTCAGATGCTGGTGGGCGGCCAGTGTCAGAGCTTAGTTCTAGGGCAGGGACAGCTGTCTAGTAGAGGACTCTTGGTCGAAACGACTTCCCAAAACCTGGGACTAGTGGGCAGGAACTGGTCATCCGTGGTGGACACAGTCCACTGTGCTGCTGTAGCAGAGGGACAGTTGACTCAGGCCAGGGGTCCCTGACCCCTACAGCCCTGCACAGGCCCAACCTTGCTCCTGAGTCACTGAGCCCCCACTCTCCCATCCAGACCCCTCCCTTTGCCCCTGAAGCCCTAGGAGGGGGAAGGGTCTAGGACAGTGTGGGCAATACTGTGGATACACTGGCACAGAGACAATGCTACAGTTGCTACGCTTGCTGGTGGCTGGAGAAGACAGGCGCCCCCCCCCCCCCCCCCCCCCCCCCCCCCCCGACACCCAAGACTGAGCTGCATGTGTGACCACCTCTCCCAGCCTTCCTACTGTAGAACCCTCTGTAACTGAGCACTTGTTCAAAGCTAAAGCAAGGGTTCACATATCATGCCCTTCTTTCCTCAGGCACAGCGTTGCCCTCTCCCAGTGTTGAATGGGGGAAGCTAACAGGGCCCCTCCTTCATTTCGTGTCTATAAATCGTTCACTTCCTCTGAGATGGCCCCCCACTGCCGGCATTCCTGGCAGGAGCTCAGATGTTGGTGAAAGAGCCACCTGCCTGGCTAGGAGTTATTGAGGAGTGCCCAGCCCTTGGCCACCCGTCCTTGCCACTACTTGGTCTCGCTAGGGTTCCTGGAGGGTGTTTGGTTTGGCCAGGCTGTGTCTCCACACCTGACCCAGGGTTGATGGACTTCTTTCTCCTGGTTTTTGTGGGGCTGTGGGGGGCACTGCCCCTAGATGGAATCTTCCTCCATGTCCATCAGTCTGGTGTTTCCACTCTGCCCTTTGTCTCCAAAGATGGCCCTTGATCCAGAACCCTGTGACCTGAGATTCTCCTTCTGGAACATTAGCTGCAGTCACTGCTGGTTTTCTGGCTCAGGGAATATGACATCAGTGCCAGTTCTTAGAGGGTCCCTCTTGCCTGCCTGAGCTGCATGCCCATTAGATCTTTTTGCTCTCTGAATTGTTCCCTGCATTTCCCTTCCTTGTAAAGGAACAAGGTTTTTAAATCCCAAGAGCCCAAGCTCATCAGTGGAGCAGATGTCACCACATATGTGTCACTGAATGAGGGCCAGTTCTGTCCCCAGGTGGAGTCCCACAGTCCTGGGTGCATGACACCTTACCCTTTGCACAGGTGGAGTTTGGGGTTCTTAGACCATGACTTTATTTATCTTCCATGCACTTTCTGTCTTGGTATCCTGAAGGGGTGAGCACAAGGCCTCTCATTCTGCCCCTGACATTTGTCATCCTGAGCATGGAGGCTATAAAACTGCCACCCGGAAAATCAGGAAAGGATGCAAGCTGTCCATAGCCTATCACCCTGATGCAGTGGTGGCTGCTGTTTCATCTGATTGTTTCAACAGTTCTAGCCAGGCACCTGTGACTCACACCTGTAATTCTAGCTACTTGGGAGACTGAGATCAGGAGGATCACAGTTAGTGGCCAGCCCAGGAAAATAGTTCATGAGACCCCCATCTCCAAAATAACCAAAGCAATATGGACTGGAGGTGTGGCTCAAGTGGTGGAGTGCCTGCTTTGCAAGTGCAAAGCCCTGAGTTCAAACCCCAGTCCCACCAAAAAACAATTCTACATATGTTACTTTGAATAGGTCATGAAATGCAGAGGGCACAGGAAGGGTGCACACTGGGCAATGAACCTCTCCACAGGGCGGCTGCTCAGTTCTTCTGCCCCTTCTTGATGCTCTGGGCGTATCTACACTAGTGCAGGCAACATCCTGTAGAGTGTCCCGTGCGGGTTTTGTGTGGCTGCTGCCCTGTCCAACAGCTGTGCAGAAGCAGAGGTCTAGCTGATCACCTCTAAGCAGTGCCGTCATGTGTGTCCTCATGTCTGCGTCATCTGGCGTCAGTGCACGTACCTGGGTCACTGCTATGTCCATTTAAAATGTTGGGCGTCACCAAGTTGCTCTTCACGTAGATCGTTGTTCAGTCACACTCACCCCCAGCAAAGGATGCACTTACACACCCTGCAAGGTCTTCCATCTTTACTAACTTGGTAACGTATATACAAAGACATCTGGTTGAACAGCTCTTCTTTTCTCTGTTCCCCCCCCCCTTTTTCCTTTTCTTTTGAGTTGGGGTCTCACCATGCTGCCCAGACTGGCTTTGAATTCCTGGGCTTAAGTGATCCTCTCATCTCAGTGTCCCAACCCTAGTTATTTTTTTTTCTTGTTGTTGTTTACTATTTTTTAAAATAAATTTTTTATATAAGAATGGTGTTAGATTTACAGAGAAACTGGACAGACAGGCCTGATGCCTGTGGCTCACACTTGTAATCCTATGTACTTGGGAGGCAGAAGAGGATCAGGGTCGAGACTAGGCCAGGCAAAAAGCTCTGGAGATCCTATCTCCAAAATAACCAGAGCAGCTAGCTGAGTGGCTCAAGCAGTACGAGCATCTGCCTGGCAAGCGTGAGACCCTGAGTTTAAACCCAGTCCTGCCAAAAAAAAAGCAAAATAACTAGAGCAAAATGGACTGAAAGTGTGGCTTAAGCAGTAGAGAGCCTGCTTTGCAAGTGTGAAGCACCAAGTTCAAACCCCCCCCCCACACACATAAAAATACCCAACACAAAAAAGGGCTGGCAGAATGGCTCAAGTAGTAGATTGCCTCCATAGTAAACATGAGGCTCTGAGTTCAAACCCTAGTACTGTCAAAAAAAAAAAAAAAAAAAAAAAGTGGAAAGGCAGTCCGGAGTTTTTGCAAACCCTACACCTGGTTTCCCTTTGTTCGCATACTGCATTAGTATGGGACATTTGTACAATCGGTGGGTCAAACTTATACATTGTCGATAACCTGAAGTCTGAGGTTGACACAGATTTCCTGTTTTACCTGGAGTCCTTTCTGTCCAGCGTCCCACCTGACCCTTAATTCTCCAGGCTCCTCAGGCTCCTCTGGGCTGGGACGGTTTCATGGGCTTTGCTTGTCTTTGATGACCTTGGCAGCTTTGAGGAGCATTGGTCACACGTTTGACACACTGTCTCCTGCTGGGGTTCTGGATCTTTTTCTCACGATTGTACTGAGTGATGAGTGGTGGGGGGGGGAAGATGGGTAAAGGACCTTTTGTGTCACCTCACATGGGGATGGTGCTGTCCCCATGGTTTCTCACTATTGGTGTCATTGTGATCACTTGGCTGAAGTTTTGCTTGTCAGGCTTCTCACAGTGAGGTTGCCTTCCCCTTTCTTACTGTGCTCTCTACCTGTAGCACTTTGGGGTGGGGAGTCCATCCACCCTTCTGAGGGCAGTGCATCTACATAAATGATATGATTCTACACATTTGATATCATTTGAGGGTGTTTATTTTACACCTTGGGTTATAATCCATTGCTACCATGATCATCCCAGCTTGGACATCAGGACCCTCACAGTTGGCTCCTGCATCCCCTTGACATGGCCTGTCATTTTGTTTTTTGAGCCTTTCCCCATTTTCAGCCCTACAAGCAGCTCTAGCCTCACCTGCATGTCCCCACACCTAGGATTGCCAGTCTCCCAGGAACCCAGCTTCCTTTTGCTAGAGAACCGTGTTAGACTGAGATCTGGGGGCTGGGCCCTCTCAACTTCCCGAGCAGAGAGAGAGACACGTGAATGTGTGTTTGCACACTTGCCCGAGATGGAGCATACACTAGCTGGTGTATGCACACTTCTGTGGCTATTTCTATACGTAACCTTCTGCATCTGTATAAGCTAACTGTGAGTTCCTACTGATGTTTCTAACTAACCCATGACCTCCTGATGGGTCTAGCCTCCTTTCCTTGCTTCCCTATGACCCCTGGGAACTCTGGCCCCACTGCCCACCAGTCAGTTCTTTGTTCACTTCCAGTGATGTGTGAAGTAGAATCAGAATTAAAGACCACCCATGACTGAATGACCAGCACTTGCAGCCCCTTAGGCCTAAGGCTTATGGCTCCGCCCGTGCCCAGCCTTGATCACTCCAGCACCACCTCCCTCTGCCTCCACTGCACTCCTGCCTTATCTTCTCTTAGGAATGAGACAAGCAACTCTCCACATGGTTTTTTGTTTGAAATGAGGTCTCACTCTGTTGCCCAGGCTGACCTCTAAGGCCTGGGCTCAAGTGACTGTCTTGCCTCAGCCCTCTGAGCAACTGGAACTGCAGGCATGTACCATTGTGTCTGGCCTGTTTTCCTGTGTTTTAGGGCCATTTGTATTCCTTTTCTATGAGCCATTCTTGTCTTTTGCTGACTTTTCTATTTTTTTTCCTTGCGGACTGTGCTTTACGTGCAGATGAAAACTGGGTTCCACCAGTATTTTCCATGCTGTGATCCTACCCTTCAGTTTTGTTCTTGTGATGCATTCTCCTTTGACCTCTCCACTTGGCTGTCCCCTTCTCCACTTTGACATTCTCTGACATGCACTCAGCCACAGGCAGCCTGAGTCCCAACCCTGAGCTGCTTTTCTCCTTTCCTCTCCTGCACTTGGGCTATACCTCATGCTTTCCAGCAGAGCCTCTTGAAGTGCATCCTCGGAGAAGTGGCCACAGGGACTTCTGACACCAGTGCCAGTCTGGGGGTTCTCTTGCATGCAAAAATTTGTCAGAAGGTTTCCCAGAACTAATGACCGTTGTTATACTTGTAGTGATGGTTTATTACAGGGAGAGAATGTAGATTAATTCAGCCAGAAAGACGTGTGGGCAGAGTCCAGGAGGCTCATGTGAGCCTGGGCTGTCCTCTCCCCGTGGCATAGAGACAGCTTTACTTTTCCATCATGGATGGTGTCGACACACACACCAAGGTATTGTCAGCCAGCAATGCCCCCACCCCAACCTCTGTATCTAGAATCCCTTCTGAGCTCCAACATAGAGGCACAGTGGGCACCCATGTGACTGACCTCTGCCTTCAGCTCCTTCATGGGTCGACTAACACTATGTGGCCCAAGCCCCATCCCATGTCACTTTCTTGTGTGACTCCAATCTCCACCATAAATCACACTGTTAGAGTACCTGGCTGACCTAGGGCCCCCAAGTAAATAGGTATTTAGATCAGGCGGGATATTCTGAGGGCTTAGAGGCTACCTCCCAAAAGTCAAGGCTGGGGCTTCCTTTGCTGAGGCCCAATTCCTTACCACTTGGTACCTGCTGCTTCTTCTCTCTCACTCCACCCCACCCTCACCGGGGTCCACAGGGCTCACCCTTAGTACCTCCTCTTGTCTCCACCCCTGTATAGTTGGTAAGGAGGATACAAGCTCTTCTGAGTGCAGTGCTAAGGTGGTGCAGACATATGTCATTCTCTCTACAGAAATAAAAACCTCTCTTGGACCTGCCTCCTAGCTTCCCCTGTATACTGAGTCCATGCTCTGTTCTCTGAAGCCCTTTGCAGTGCCTAACCGTGGGCCCCGAGCACATGGTCCAGCTGGGATGTTCATAGGAACCACGCAGCCTCAGCATCACCAACCTAGGAGAAGGTGATGGCTGCTGGCCTTGAAATCAGGCCACCTCTGATGGTTCTGTTGGCATCCTGGCCTCTGCTTAGAATGGGTGTGTTTACTCATTTACCAGAAAACTTCAGGGCCCTGATCTGTGGTAGCCTCTCAGAGCCCCCCAGTTCCTTGAATAGAGAAAGACCACATTTTGGAAAACAATTTCTTGATGAATTTAGTGTAGTGCAATTCCATGTATATGACTGGTTCCTGGCTTTGTTTTTGGTAGTATTTGGTGGTGGTGTTTGTTTTTAGATTTTCTTAAAAACTCAGAAGTTTCTAGTCCTTACTGTGTTGGCCTACGCACCTCTGAGGTCAAGTCTCCTTGATGGCCGTTTGGCATGGAGGATGGAAGCCCCCAGGCTGTTTTCCCACTGGATTCTGAGGTCCTTTCCCCAAAATGTATGGGGAAGTTGGTGGGTATTTGTTTGTTTTTTTTTTTTTTTTGGGCAGTGCTGAGGTTTGAGCTCAGGTCTTAAGCTTGCTAGGCAGGTGCTCTACCACTTGAACCACATCCCCAGCCCTTTTTTGTGTTGGGTGTTTTCGAGATAGGGTCTCTTGAACTATTTCCCCAGACTGGCTTCAAACCACGATCCTCCTGATCTCTGCCTCCTGAGTAGCTAGGATTGCAGGTGTGAGTCACTGGTGCCCAGCTATATGTGAGGAAGATTTTTAAGCCTACAAAAAAGTTGGAAGAGTAATCTAATGTGACTCCCCAGACTGGTGATGACTGATGCTACCCTGGACTTGCTTTCTCTCCCCTTCCCTGCGTGTCTCCATGTTTGAGAGCAAACTGCAGATGTTACCATACCCTCCCCAGGAAACAAGCTCTTCCTAGTGGCACTTGGTCATTCATCAGTCCCTCAGCTGTATCTCCTCACCATTCTCCTCCACTCCCTTCTTCTTTCTTTCTTTCTCTTCTTCTTCTTCTTCTTCTTTCTTCTCCTCCTCCTCCTCCTCCTCCTCTTCTTCCTTCTTCCTTCTTCTTCCTTCTTCTTCCTCTTCCTCTTCTTCCTCTTCCTCTTTTTCTTCTTCTTTTCCTCCTCCTCCTCCTTCTCCTCCTCCTCCTCCCCCTCTCCCCCTCTCCCCCTCTCCCTCGATATGGTCTTGCTATGTAGCCCAGGCTGGCCTAGAACTCATAGTCCTCCTGCCTCAGCCTTGTGTACCTTTGTCCTAACTCTTTTGTTTTTTGCAACATTGTCTTTGTCAGCTTCCAGGCTGTTATGACGCCTGGGATGCAGGGAGTCACCTGGATCTAGTAGACTGCTGAGTCTGTCCTCCAGAGCCCTCCCACCCTCCCTGCCCTATCTCCATGTTCATCCTCTCTGTGGCCCCACAGAGTAGCTCTTGGTATACTCCCACCTGGTGGAGGAGGTGGGGGCTGCTGAGGGCCAGGGGCCAGGAGGTCCAGATAGGCTCATCCATCTGCACATGGTGGGGAGGAGTCCTGCCCTTCTGGAAGCTCACTGTTGATGACAACAGTGGCAGTGACAAGCATTTCCCAGCTGAACTCATGCTGCCTCCCAGACCCTCACCCAGTGCAGGGGTGAAAGACTCCCCACATTGTGCTGGATGTCGAGGCTCTTGGGTCACAGCAGCCTCAGCTGGCAGCCATGCCCTTCGCCCCTCACTGTCCTTTCTGTCCTGTGGCTCTTCTTACTCATTTACATGCAGCCTTCAGAGCCCCCCCCAACCTGTCCCTGAAGCCAGGATACCCCTGTTCTCCAGCTGTTTCCCTAAGGCCTGGTCTAGTGTGAGTAAGCTGCTGAGTATCTGAGACCGTTAGCACTGAATGAGCTGTTTTTTTCCTTTCTGTAGGAGGCCACAGGACCTGGGGGCTCCCGGGCCATCAACAACCTTCGAAGATCTAACAGCACCACACAAGTCAACCAGCCATGGACCAGCTCCCCCAGGTACCCCCGGCCCCTTAGGTTTTCTCAGAGCCCTCAGGCAACCCTCGGCCCCCTCAGGTAACCCTCTGCTCCCCCAGGTCACCCCAGCCTCCTCAAGTAACCCCATCCTGCTCCTCTCCCAGCCCTTCCAACTCCATTAGTAGTGGCCCTTGCCGGGCACTGGGGCCTGGTGACCTTCACACACCCAGCCCTTGTCCCACCCTGTCCTATTGAGCTGAGAGGGACAGGGAGACCAAGGGCAGTCACTGTGTTCTGATGCATCTGTGTTGCATTCTGGAGCCTAGGACCCTCAGAACACAGCTCCTCTTGCTTACACCTTCTCGGGTCCCAGGCAGGGTGGGCAGAACATGTGAGGCTGTTAGGGATCTTCTTTCAGTTGTGGCCTTTCCTACCTGCTCTTTGTGTATCAAACCTGTTGTTTGCAGGAGGCATCAGTATCATGGCAATTCCAAGTTCTCCTTGGTGGCCCATACCTGTCCTCACCCAGTTAAACTTCCACTACTCCTTGTAGATTCCAAACCAGAGGAGGGAGAGGAGGCTTCCCAGTGCCCAGTACCATATGGAAGGTGCCAGTTTGTGGAGCTAGCAGCAGTCAGCACTCTCTGGAGTGGACGCCTCTGAGTTCAGAGCAGCCAGCAAGGCCCTGACATCGCTTCCCACATGTGTTGTCCCTGAGTGGGTGGGCACTCCTACAGGGCTATATATCTATAGATGGCTAAGTTCTGGGCAGCTGGGTGAATCCTCTCCAGAAATGCAAGGGCAGCACTACCCCACAGTACAGTCACCCATGGCATCTGTGTCCACCAAACAAGTGACTTCAGGGCATAGGATGCAGCAGAGTGGCCTGGTACCTTGCTGAAATAATGCAACTCTCCCAGGGATGTTCACTGTGCCTTGTGGCGGTTGGCGGAATGTAGGATGTGCTGGGGGCAGCAGTGGCCACATGTGTCAGTGCTGGGAGTGGTGTGGCGTGTGTGTGCGTGTGTGTGCCATGTGGTGTGGCATGGTGTGTGTCCATGGTGTATGGTGTGTGTGTCTGTGTGTGGGTAGTGGGTTTATTGTGTGTGTGTGGTGAGTATGACCCGTGTCATGGTGTGTGTGAGTGTGTGGTGTGTGGGGGCGGGATGTGTGTGATGTGTGCAGTGTGGTTGTGCTGGTTGTGTGACATCTAGGAAATCCTTTGTAGGTGCACCTGTGCTTTTCTGGCTATGGGGGAGTGAGTTTGGTTTTGTTTGTGTTAGTGTCCCAGCATTTACCCTGCATTGCATCTTTCCATGCTGACTGGGTGACCTCTGCCTTCATGAAGTGCCATGACCCTGTGGAGGGCCTCATGTCCTGTCCCCTGCCCTGTGTCTCCTGTGCTGGCCCCACACTGTTTTAGTGTTTTTCCACATCTCTTGCTTCCTCAGAACTGTTAGAGAAAGAACAGTGCTTGGTTCTTTATGGTTCTGTGGCTTCTCTGGTCCTTTGTTCTTTGTGAATTTTTGATGAGTTCATGGAGTGTCTCTAAAGCTGAACCTATGGAATTTACATCAGGGTTCTCACCAACTCAGAGGATCCAGTTTGGGAGCTAGATGGCTCCTCCTGCCTGTGGGTCTGCTCTGCCCTGAGCCTTTTCTTGAGGCTCCAAGTGGCATCCAGTCTCCCGGGAGAAGTGCTCTAACCCTTAGCCACACCTCCAGCCCAGTTTGGTGATTTTTAGCACATTCACAGAATTGTGCAGCTATCCCCACAACCAAGTTTAGAAAGCTTTCATCACCCATATCCCACCCCCTCCCCTGGCCTCATCATTTGCCAGTCCGCATCTGTCCCTGTGGACTTACTGTTCTGTGACAGGGATCATGCAGTGGTAGCCTGTGTCTTTCACGGAACGTCACACTTTCAAGGCTCCTCCCTGTTGTAGTGTGTTGCTGCTTCTCTTCTTTTCGAGGCTGAATGGTGTTCTACCATATGGATAGGCCACATTTTTCATCACAGAAGTGATGACTTCCCATAGGGCAGCAAGGCAGGTGGTCTCACTTCCGATTACCTTGAGACATGTTGTCTGAAGGTGTGTCCATGGCACCTGTTGTCCAGCCATGCCTCATCCCCTCTGAGCTGCAGGCTCAAGTGGCTCTCTGTCCACAGGGGAGAAGAGGGCAGCAATAGGTGGCCACATATATAAGGCTCTTGCTCTCCAGAAATCTAGGATCATTCTGGCTACTAAAACTCAGACACGGATGGGAGTTCCCCAAATCCCCAGATCCAGACCACCTACAAAATCACCCCTGACAGGCACAGTTGTGGGTCAGGGCTAAGAAAAGGTGTTCTAAACTGGGTATGGGACAGAATCCCTTGCTGGTGTCATGGCCCCTTCTGTCCCCTTGTAAGATGTGGCGCCATCTTCCTTCCTGGAATAGGTTTCCTAGCTGGCTGATTTTATCCTTGTGTACTGTCCTCTCTTGGACACAGGCCAGCAGAACCCACTGACTTCCTCACACTCTTTGAGGGCAGCACCAGTGAGAGAAGGAGGGTGGCCAGTCTGAGCAAGGCACCCAGTGAGAAAGGAGCCACATGGAACATCCTGGTAAAGTCAGGCATAAGGTGGCCGTGAGTCCTGGTCTTTCTGCCATAATCACCATTTGGATTATTACTTGTCCTTCCTGCCTTTGCAGGCAGGGGAGGGCAGCTGCGGGGGCGGGGGGTGTCTGGGGTACCAACCCGCGATCCTACCATGCAGCCTTTGGGTCATCCCATCAGTTACACATGTGGGAGCTATGCCTCCTCCGTCTGTGGGGGAGGTGGTGTCATAGGCAAGGGCCTGTGTTTGGGTGTGTGCCAGGGGTCAGGGGCTGTCCATATTACTCACAGGATGACCAGCCCAGGGGCTTTGCCTTGCCGGCCAGTGTCCCAAGTTCCAGTGCCCTCGGTTCCCCTGCAGGCCCAAGGAGGAAGGAGAGCACCCTGGCACCCAGCTTCACTGCCAATAACAGGTACAACAGACCTTGCGGGTGGCGGGATGGCCCACTCAGCAGAGGTTCTAGCACAAGAACTCTGTCTGTTTTGTTTGTGACTAGATCAGGCTGCGTTAGAATGAATGAAGGAATCAATGAATGAATGAAAGAATGACTTTCTTTACCCAAGGCCAAAGGGAGGAGCTGCAAGGTGCTGTCTTACACCTTTAGAAGGGATGAGGGAGCGCAGGATGCCTTCTGCCTGTGTCTCTGCTCCTTCAAAGGAAGGAGGCCCTGCTGTGCTCCTGAGCACTTCAGGCTAAGAAGGCTCTGTGGCCGTGTGTGACTTTCCAAGAATTGTCAGAGTTTGAGCCCTGAGGTTTCATATGTCTCCCACCACCTTCCCTGGACCAAACTGGCTTAGGGCCTCAAGCCTGCCTGCCAAGGCTGGGCCTGTACCAGGGCAGCATTGGTCACTCTTCACTTGGGGTCATACTTACTAGAGACATGACAGACCAGAGTGCAGCTGGGGAAGCCAGCCAAGACAGCAGGTCTTAGGGAGGGCCTGGCTCCGTGGCCTCAGTTGGCTCCGTGCCTGAAGTTGGTGAGTGGGCCCTGAAGAAAGTGGACCTCAAGTGACCTCTGAACCTTTGAGACAAACGTGACTTCCTCCCAGCTTCACTGGGCCAGGGGATGCCTCTTTGAGACACAGAAAAGGGCTTTCCTGCTCCGAACAGGGCTTCATCATGACGGGCCCAGTGACACTTGACTGATAATGCTCTGTGCCAGCACTTGTATCACGGACACGATGCCACTTATCATCTCCAAGCCTGACCTGCTTTCTGTCTCTGGCAGGAGCAACAAGGGAGCCGTGGGCAACTGCGTTACCACTATGGTACATAACCGCTACACCCCCTCAGAGAAGTCACCCCCGCTGAAGAGCTCCAACCAGACAGTACCCTCCCTCAAGTAAGGCTGGTATCACCCACCCGGAGGCACATGACTCAGGAGTGGGACCTTGGTGGGGGTACAGTGTGCATGGCAGGCTCCTGCAGCAGGGTTCCTTGCCCTCATTGCCATCACCCAGTCCTATCTAAGCCAGACTAGCTTCTCAGGGAGACAGAAAACAGACTCAGCAAGCCCAGGACTCATGCCCGGGGTAGGACCCCATTGAGGAAGCCGCTGTCTGTATCCAGAACTGCGAGGGTATCACCGTGGGAATGTCTGAACAGGGTAGAGGAGCTCTGTGTCCTGAGATGGACTCCTGTGACCTTTGAGCACCCTTGCTTTTTTAAACGTAAAGAACATTTGCTTGATCTGGGCCCTCGTGGTCACGCCTATATTCCTAGCTACTTGGGAGGCAGAGAATCAGGAGGATCGTGGTTCAAAGCCAGCCTGGGCAAATAGTTCACAAGACCCTATCTCAAAAAACCCCAACACAAAAAAGGGCTGGTGGAGTGGCTCAAGTGGTAGAGTGCTTGCCTAGCAAGTGTGAGGCCCTGAATCCAAACCCCAATATTGCAGAAAAGAACATTTACTTGGGTGCCAGCTGTTGGGATGTAGGTGGCCTTGGGAACCAGTAAAGTGGAGTGGTAGGACCGGCCTTGCTTAGAGACCTATGGGTATCCTCTAGGCTCCGAGCTCTGGGACACCACTGGAGCCATGGCACAGCCATTCCCAGGGTGGTAAGTGGGGTTTCTCTTCCTGCTGTCAGCAACATCATCAAGGCAGCTGCCAGTGAGGGCAGCAGCTTCGCAAAGCCCCGGAAGAACTTCTCCAGCAGCAACCATGAGGCCCGGATCTCTGCCGGCCTGCTTAGGAGGAAGGAGGTGACTGAGGAGGAGGCCGAGAGGTGACTGCTCATGGGAGGTGGGGAGCAAAGATCTGGGTCTACACCTCCCAACGATAGAGTTTCCATTTGCTGGTTGCTTTAAAAATAGCGAGGCTAAAAAGACAGCACAGCACAGGAAGTGGCTCCATGTGTGTAAGATATAAGATGTCAAGAAAAGGCTGGGGTCAGATGCCGGTGGCTCACGCCTGCGATCCTAGCTACTCGGGAGGCAGAGATCAGGAGGATCGCAGTTTGAAGCCAGCCCAGGAAAATAGTTTGTGAGATCCTATCTTGAGAAACCTCTTCACAAAAAAGGGCAGTGGAGTGGCTCAAAGTGAAGGTTCTGATTTCAAACATGAGTGCCACAAAAAAAAAAAGGAAAAGAAAAAATAAAATGCTGGGGTGGTGGGAACCAGGATAGCACAGGGACTGCTCTTTGGGGTTCATGGAATGTTCTAGAAAATTGTACACTGATGGGCGCACAGCTGTATAAATTTACTAAAGAGCATTGAATTGTGTGCTGAAAATGAGTAGATTTTTATAGTGTGGGGAAAGACAACACAAAACTGAGAAGAGCTGGAGGAATGGCTCAAGTGGGAGACGCCTGCCTAGCGAGCACAAAGCCCTGAGTTCAAACTCCAGTACTGACAAAACAAAAAATTCCAATGGGGTTGTGACCTTGCGGCATGCCCTTGGAGACCTGGAGGGAGCACAAATGGAGCCTCTTGCAAGCAGGACAGTGGTTTCCAGCCAGGCCACCCTTAGTAGCTGGACAGCTGCTGCAGGCACCTCCACCCTGGCCTCTGAGAGCCTACACCTAGCTCACCTGCTTTGCATGTGGCAGGAGATGGGGGAAGGCACAGGGAAGGGAGGTTTACAGCCAGCACTCCTCAAAGCCCACTGGGGTAACCCCAGGTAGACTAGCCTCTCAGGGAGGATGGGCTGCACTCTGCAGAACCAGGGCCCTCCTGTCAGTGCTTTTGCTGAATGGATCTACACGTGGTCCCTCAAGCCAAGGTTGACATTTTCTTATTTAATTAAATTTATTTAGTATAATTAGGTACAGTAAAATGCACCCATTTGACAAATGTACATGTTGATGTCTGCAGATACAGCATACCAAGACCAGACTGTTCCAGTATCTCCATGATTCCCTTGGTCCCTTTTGTTCATCTCTTCCTCTTCCCCAACCTAGCAGTCACTGACCTGTTTGCTTCATAGCCTTGGGCCATGGTGCTCTATGCTACCACCAGCAGCTTGCCATCGGGCTGGACGTAACTATGTTTACGTGCAGCGTCTGTTTTCACTTCCTGGATTATTCAGCACAGCCACCCAAGTCTGAGCAGACACATGCTTGCTTTCCCTGGGTAGCTTCCCAGGAGGGAAGATTTTAGGTTTTAATGGAGCTGGCCTAGAAGGACTGGTCCTGCTGCATCATAGGCTGGATGAAAAGGGCTGTCTGTATTGCCACCAGTTTGTTTCCGCCCATATGGACATTTGATCTGCAGGGAACTAGGGGCATAGTGTACTAGGCCCTTTAAGTTCTAAACCCGCTCTCTGGTGTAGGTTTATCCACCAGGTGAACCAGGCTGCTGTCACCATCCAACACTGGTACCGTCGACAGGTGCAGCGGCGCCAAGCAGCAGCAGCAAGCCTTGAGCACTTGTTGGCATCCAAGCAAGAGGTCAGTGTGGACATGTGAGCCACACCAGGCTTCCCCACAGGTGGGCCTAGAGTCCCAGAGTCTGAACCATGCACAGGTGGAGTTCCTGGGTAAGTGGAATTGAGACTTGAGTTGCTTGTACATACATATCCCATCTGTGGGCCATGCTTGGTCCCTGTGATGGTCATCAGAGTGCAGGTGTCAGGAGGACACTCTGAACAAGCTTCTGACCCTGTAGTGCAGAGCTGTCTCCCCTGAATATGCCATCCTCTGCCAAGGGGTGGGGGCTTGTCCTCTGTCCTTGTCTCTCCCTCCTCAGCAGACTGCAGGTTCCTGGGGACAATGAGAGTCGAGAGGAAACCTAGTCAGGTCCATAGGATCTGCTGTCTTCAAAATCTTTAACACCCCTGGCTTCGGCTTTCCTGGCAGGAACAGCTGCAACAGCAGCGGCTGAGCAGTGGGAATCTTCTGGACCTGCACCAACAGAAGGAAGCCACAAGGAAGAAGGCCCGGGAGGAGAAAGCGCGTCAGGCCAGGCGTGCGGCCATCCAGGTGCTTGCGTGACCTAAGAGGAGCTTTGCAGCCCCATAGGCTAGAGAGCAAGGCTCAGTCCTGAGCCTGACTCTGTATGACGCTGCTACTTGGGCCTGCAGGCCCCTGGACGTGGAGCCCCAGGAAAGTTAGGCTGTGGGAGGATGAGGAAATCATCCTTTCCCCAGGGGCTGCTCACAGACACTCCCTTGGCAGGAACTGCAACAGAAACGAGCCCAGAAGTCAGGTGAGGCTGAGTGTGGGCTGCCCAAGGAGAGCTCGGAAAACAGGGCACTGGGGCAGCCTCAGCCCAAACAAGAGCCACCCCTGATGCCAGGCAGCACTGCCTGCCAGGCTGTCAAGGCGAATAATGCTGGTGAGTAGCTCTTGGCCCACATGGCCTGGGGAGGAGATGCAGCCCCTGCTGGTGTGCCCTTGGCCCCTATGCAGTGGCCAGAATTGGTGGCTTCCACTCATGCAGTTGGGACCTTGGTTCTCCTCCATGCTGACCTTTGCTCCTGCCTGACCCACTCGTGGGCTGTACTTGAGATTACTCAGGCCTTCACAAACAGTCCTGGCCCTGGGACAGAGAGAGGCCACAGAACAGAGGCCCAGAGCCCAGGCATGACACCAGCTGCCCCCTGACCTCACACTCGGAAGGCCAGGGATCCCCAATATATCTGTTCTATGGAGCTGTAACCATCTCCTCCACACCCAGCTCCTTGCAGGGCTCCCCCAGACATAGGACCCTGGGTGGGCCAATACCATGTTCTGTCATGCAGGTACCAGTGTCTACCTGGGAGGCCCCAGAGACTCCTCCCCACCTGCATCCTTGCCTGACTCATCCCCAGATCCCCAGCAATCTTCAGAGGACAAGCCACAGGTGTGTGCACAACTCACCACTCCCTCCCTTCCAGACTTTGGCTTCATGCCAGGGGTGGCCTACTGAGTTGGCCTTTACCCTGCCCACTCCTTGGCCTTGGGGTCCCTTATGCCCTGAAAGGCTACCTAGAAGGCAGTGGCCTGTGAGCCCTTGTGGGGTGGGGGTCTCAGAACTGCTTTGGAATCCTATCAGTTTTCACATTTTCCTGGGGCAGGGCCCTGTGTCCTTATCCATAGAAAAAGCTCTAGAAGCTCAGAGAGGCCAGGGATACCAAGGCTATCAGACTGCACATTGTGGGGTTAGGTGGCTGAGCCTGTTTTCATGGAGGAGACCCGAGATATGTTCCTGGATGGTAAAGATGCTTCTGGCCTGTGTGGCTGGGCCCAGGTGGTCACAGGGAGTGGGCAGAAAAAGCCCCAGCCCCATGCCCCTTTGATCTGCCTGTGTGTGGGGATTACTCTCAGCCACCAACAGCCTTGCCAGCTTTCCCTCTCTACTCCTCTGCTGCAGGATGTCCACTCCCAGGTTGTAGCCATTGAGGACACAGGGACAATGGACCCTGCCAGGAGCAGGGCCAAGTCCAGGGCAACACTGGATGAGCTGCTGGACACGCTGAGGCTGCTGGAAGAGGAGCCAGAGCCACTGCCCCACCCCAGGGCCTATCATAAGGATAAATACGCCTGGACTGATGAGGTAACTGGGCTGTGCACCCTCCCTCACCCCAACCTGAGTAACTGCAGGGTCAGGGAAGATGGAAGCCACCACACTCCTTGTTTTAGTTGAGACACTAGTGAGGGCCATATGAGGCCTTGTTAGCCCTGCTTTCCATTCTCTATCAGGCCTCCCTGAGGTCAGGACACAATAACCCACAGGGTGAATGTCTCTGCCCTCATGGTCTGAGGCAGCTGGAGAGACCCTTTCTGCGAGAGTCAAGCCCAGCTACCTCCAGCTTGCCCTCCTCCCCACCGCCCCTAGGGTACCCTAAGTCCTCCAGGTACCCTAACAGCCCCCACTACTGGGCCCTCCCGTTCACAGGATGACAATGCCAGCTCCCTGACAGCTGACAATCTGGAGAAATTTGGAAAACTCAGTGCACCTCCTGGCCCCCCAGAGGATGGGACGCTGCTCTCAGAGGCCAAGCTGCAGAGCATCATGAGCTTCCTGGATGAGATGGAGAAGTCAGCACAGGACAGGCCGGCCCCCCACCTGGAGGTAGTAACTTGCCAGGCCTCTATACAGCACTGCAGTGGAAGGAGATCTCTCACCAAGCCCCTGTCCAGCCCACCAGTGGCAGGTGGCCACTTGCCAAGTCTCTGCAACAGCTCCAGCCCCACTCCTGGGCCCTGAATGGAGCTGGAGGCTAGGAGGGTTGGCTTGTCCCAACCTGGGCTCCTCTCTTGGTGGTTCACCTCGAGTGGCCTCCAAAAGCCCTGTGCAGGTAGATGGCCCTGGCATCCCTGGGTCCTGGTGTCCCCTTGGCTGGGTCAGTCCTGGGTGAATGCTAGTGTCCAGGTTACGTGGATCGATCATGAGTTTTATAATCACGGGGTCTGTGTTGATAACTGAGGCACAGCCTTCCTTCTCTGGCACTGAATATTAGAAACAGTCTCTTTGGGGTTGACCTGTCACCCACTCTCCCTCACTTCTGACCAGATTCCCTGCATGTAGCTCCTTCTCCCTCCAAGCCGGGTGGAGCAGGAGGGATGCATGGGTTTCTCATGGACACAGGATAGGCAGGGCATCACATCACATCTCTGCCACCTCCGTTATCTAGTAGTTCATGGGCTGCCTGCCTGAGGCTGTCTGTGTCCTTAGGGCTTGGTGCCAGAGGCAGGACGGGGGCATCTGGAGCTAGCATCTGAGGGGAGCATGTCTGTAATGCGGCTGAAGCTGGAGGTAGAGGAGAAGAAGCAGGCCCTGGTGCTGCTGCAGAGAGCACTGGTGAGGCCATAGCACATCAGCCCCAAATGGAGACCCTGCCAGCTCCTTGCCTGAGAGGCTTGGGCCTTGGCATTGTCCCTGAGTCCCTATTATCTCCCCCTGAACCCTTGGCGCCCAGTCCCAGGTCTATGGCAGGGACCCAGTGTTAATGCCTGCTTCCTGTCATGCAGGCACAGCAGCGTGACCTCACCATCAGGCGGGTCAAGGAGACTGAGAAGGAGCTGAGTCGGCAGTTGCGGCAGCAGAAGGAGCACTATGAGGCCACCATCCATCGACACCTGACTTTCATCGACCAGGTGACAACACCATGAGAGGCTTTTGAGGGGGTAGGGATCAGAGGGACAAGGTTAGGGTACAGACCCAGGATACAGGTCTCATGGAGACTCAGTGCCAGGGATTGGCATTGTTGCCCCTCCATTGGAATGCAGTGCTGACCTCAGGATGGTTCTGGTTTGAGGCCCACACAACCTGCTAGTACTCAGACAGGTGTTGGTCTCCGACTGGTCTGGTGTGACAGGCCACAGGGACAGTGGGCAGAGCACAGCCAGCAGGTTCTGCAGAGGACTGGGCAGAGATGGAGCTCGCTACCCAGTGGGAGGTACCCTGAACACACTCCAAAGCTTGCTGTGCAGGGCCATATGCGTTCTGGGAGGTGACTTCTGGTCTACAAGGACTAGCTGCTGGGGCATCTCCCAAGTGAGAGCAGTGGAAGCTTCCTCTGGGTTCATTTACCCCTGGTCAGATCCTGCTCTGGAGATACCACTATGCCTGGGGTCTAGGAGAAAAGGCAGTGGCCTGAGGTCTGGTTTGGGGTCCTCAGTGAGGCTGTTGTATTCCCAAGGGGCTTCATGGATACCCCTTGGCAGGCAGTATTCAGATCCTCCTGCAGGGCTAGGTGACCTGAGATAATGGAGTGATCCTCATCCCAGGAAGTGAGGCTGTCATCCTCACTGGGGATATTCACATTTGCAGTGTCCTTCAGGGTAAGGACTGGGTGAAAGAAGCAGCCCTGTGTCTACTTGTGCTTGCAGTCCTCCCACTGGCCTCAGGGTCCAGGCACAGACCTAGGTGGAGGTCTGCTCAAAGCCTAGGAGGGACATCCTGGTGGGACAGGGTCCTTAGCACAGAGCCTCACCTCCTGGCCCCCCGTTGTAGCTGATTGAAGACAAGAAAGTCCTGAGCGAGAAGTATGAGACAGTGGTGGCTGAGCTGAAGCAGGGAGACCAGCGGTATCGGGAGCGTGTGGCCCAGATGCAGGAGCAGCAGGAGCTGGTGAGGCCCTGGTCCTGGCTGACATGGCTTGGCTGGGCCTCACAGTCCTCACTCAACCAGGCAGAGGACTCCAGGATGGGGCAAGCCTCAGGAAAGGATCCTTGTTTCCAACTTAGAGTTGGGGCCACGGGGGACTTGTGAACATGGTTCCTGCGTCACAGCAGTGTGACCTGAGGATGCAGGTCCAGGGGTCCAGACAAGAGTGGGGTGCCATCAGCACCCTCCCTTTCCTTCCCTCTCCTTTCCCTTGCACTGAGCCTCAGTGTCCAGTGAGGCCAGGCCCTGAAGTGGGAGCCTGACACTGTTAAAGGCTCCCAGTGTCCATAGCCAAGAGCCAGGGCTGAGCACTACCAGCCACGTGAAAACCATGGGCTCTGGAGTAGTCCCAGTGGGCACAGGCTCTCCTCTTGGGGATAGACCAATGGCTGTCACCCTTGTCTTTCAGACAGTAGAGGTATGTCTCAGGTGTGGTCCGGGCCTCCAGCCTGGTCCTGACCCCAGGGGAAGGAGGAAGTAACTCTCTGAAGTGCAAACCCAGAAGGTAGCTAAGGGGCAGGGAATGTCCTTTTCATCTGTTCTTTCCAAGTTCCTGTGTTCTTGCTCCTAGGAAATTAAGAAACTGAAAGAACTAATGAGCGCCACAGAGAAAGTGCGCCGGGAGAAGTGGATCAATGAGAAAACCAAAAAGATCAAGGAAATCACTGTCAGAGGTGGGGGCCCTCCCACCCTGGTTTTGGTTGGGGCACTTTTGAGAGAAAACAGTAGCTTCAGTGACACTGAGTCCAAGACCTTTCTGGGTGAGGCACTAACTTCAGAGGTACGGCTCGCCTGAGAAAGGAGGAAGCAAACCACCTGCTGGCTCCCTGGCCCAGAGGCCTAAACGAGGTGCTCAGTGCCACTTACCTCTTGGGGGCTGGTGTGGAGAAATCGAGGATTAGTGGGCTACTGACCCCTAGGCTGCACAGCAAGAAGCAGAACAGCAGGAGTCAGTGGGGTTGGTGTCTGAAGGAGCCACGGGATCAGGTGGTTTGGGGGAGAGGCTCCCCTCGGCCTCTCTTGTCTTGGGACCTCTTCCTCCAGCAGCACCCTTGCTGGGAGACCTGATGGTTGGAGTATCAGGAGGTGGGGTAGCTTTGTGCACCCAGGTTGAGAGAGCCGCTGCAGCTAGGAAATGCGGCTCCCGCAGGAGCAGGGGCCCTGGGGCACAGTTCTGCCCCTTCTCCACCTGAGCACAGCAGTCTCAGCATGCTTTGGGCTGGAGTACCAGGGGGCCCACTGGGTGGGGTCCTCCTTCTACCTTGCCACTGGTGCCCCCAGGCTTGGAGCCTGAGATCCAGAAGCTCATCGCCAAGCATAAGCAGGAAGTGCGGAAGCTCAGGAGCCTGCACGAGGCTGAGCTGCTGCAGCGCGATGAGCAGGCCGCACAGCGCTACCTGCGCCAGGCAGAGGAGCTGCGGGAACACCTGGAGCGGGAGAAGGAGGAGCTGGGTCAGCAGGAGCGTGCCCGTGCCCAGCAGCGGTGGGCATCTGCATGGGGTGGGCTGGGGACAGGGAGGGTCAGGTGGGTGGGGCTGGGCCACTTGGACACTCTTAGCCTGAAGCCAGGCAATTCCATTTCTAAGCTGCATTGTCGTGTTCTCCTTGAGTCCCAGGTGGGGCCCAAGGAACTCTGTGCTATGCCCAGGACAGGCAGGAGGCTGAGGTCCTGGAGCAGCATCCCTGCCTCCTCTACAGTTGTGGTCAGCAACCTCCACAGGGCTGTATCTGCAGCCCTGCCTACCAGACTAAGTGCCATGCGGGCTTCCTGCTGGGAGTTTTTTTTGAGGTTGGGTTTATGGCTTTCTGATGTCCAGACTTTCTTAGCTGGCCTCAAAGCATCCAACTCTTGGACAGGTGGCACCAAGATCCATCTGTTGCTGAGGACACCCTTGTTCATTCCTTCTCTGTGCCCTGGGGTGGGGAGTCAACCCAGCACTGCTATGAAGGTAGCCAGACTGTGCCCTCAGACCCGGGTACAGAGTGACCCCAGGGACATGCCAGGTGATAGTATCCATGGGCAGCAGTGACTAGTAGGCAGCCCCTCCTCTGCTGGTAGTGTCTCCAGGGCAGACCCTCAGGGTGGAGCCACCTTCTCTCCCACACCGACACTCCCCACCCCAAGAGAGACAAGGGCATGGGCCTAGCTTGTGCTTGCTCAGATCCCAGGAGGGCGCCTGGCTGCCTCATGCTAGTAAGTGGAGCTGTTTGAGTGAGGCCATTACACTCGCTGTGGGGCTGAGCAGAGTGACGATGGTTTGAGAAGAGAGGATGCCGGGAGATGTGGCTGAGCCTATGCCACTTCACGCTGAAGGAGGAGGCATGGTGGCCACAGACACAGAAGGTCCTCGTGGCCTGGCCTGGCCGCCCTGGGCGGCAGCTGTGACAGGCTCTGAATGCTGTGGGGAGGATGGCAGGGGATGGCTGCCCCCCGACTGCAGCTGACCCCTGCCCACCACCATGAGCATCTTGGAGTGCCCTGGGTGTGAGCCAGTCCTCACCCTCCCGCAGGTTCGAGCAGCACCTGGAGCAGGAGCAGCGGGCCTTGGAGCAGCAGCGGCGGCGGTTATACAGCGAGGTGGCCGAGGAGAAGGAGCGGCTAGGCCAGCAGGCAGCCAGGTGCCACCCAGGAGCTGCTGCTTCTCCTCACAGTGACCCCTCCCTTGCACAATGGCCCCTTGTGTGGTGACTCTTCACCCACTGATCCTCCCTTGGCCTGCAGGCAGCGGGCGGAGCTGGAGGAGCTGAGGCAACAGTTGGAAGAGAGCAGTGCGGCACTGACCCGAGCCCTAAGGGCCGAGTTTGAGAGGGGCCGGGAAGAGCAGGAGCAGCGGCACCAGGTCTCACCCTCTTGGAACTCTGTCCTCAGCTTGGGGTCCAGTAGGGCAGGGCCTCCTGCTTGACCCTAGGGGCATGTGGCCTTAGACAAAATGGGTGGAGCCCTGGGGTATGGAGCCTCAGGCAGCTCATGCCCTGTCACCCTCCAGATGGAGCTGAAGGCCCTGAAGGACCAGCTGGAGGCGGAGAGACAGGCGTGGGTGGCCAGCTGCGCCAAGAAGGAGGTAGGGTCGAGGAGGGTGGGCTCCAAATATACAGCCTCCCTGGACTTGCTTCTGGGTGTCACTCCTGGATACTTGGGGCTCAGTTGTTCATCCCCAGCTATGTGCCACTCTCTGCTGTCCCCATGAGGGTCCTGGAAGGTTAGAGTTGGAAACGAGAGAATGGCGCCTGGGCACATGCTGGAAATCAGAGAGGACATTGTTTCTCTCCATAAGGAGTGCCCACCTGTGCCTGTCAGTCAGCTGGTGCCCAGACTTCGGGGGCGGGGGTGCTGCCCCTCCTCCTCATCAGCCTCTGGTGCTTCCTTTTGGGAATTTCCAAATTGCCTCTAAGAGGTGGCCTGTTTTTACTCTTGTTGCCCAGGCCTGAGGACCACTGAAGCAATAGGGCAAGTCCCTTTATTAGCCCTGGCCTATCTGGCAGGTATCTATCTGACAGTGGTATCTGGTTATCTTGGGCTGTGGGTCTCAAAAGCAGAGGAGTGGTGCACTACTATGCTGATATCCTCCTGCTCCATGTCTACCTCGTGCCCCTGTGCCTACAATAGGTCCTAAAGACAGTGCCTGCGGGCCTGAAGGAGGGCAGAGCTCCTTCATCCCTGTGGATCTGTGCTTTCCTCTGGCTCAGAGCAGGGGAGCCCTCCCAGGAACCCATGTGACTGCCCATGCCCTCCTTCCCTATCCTCCACCCTCTTGGCCATGGTTCCCAAGCCAGCTGTGTGTCCTTGCAGGAAGCATGGCTGCTAAACCGGGAACGTGAGCTAAAGGAGGAGATCCGGAAAGGCCGGGACCAGGAGATCGAGCTGGTCATCCACCGGCTGGAGGCTGACATGACACTGGCCAAGGAGGAGAGCGAGAGGGCAGCTGAGAGCCGGTGAGGCCCTCCCCACCGCAAGCAAGCGAGGGAGTAAGCTGGGCTGCCTTTGGGTCCCCACAGGCAAGAGCAGCAGTTGTCCCAGCCACTCTGCCACGTTAACCCTCTGCTCACCAGTGTCAAGCGCGTACGGGACAAGTATGAGATGGAGCTCTCAGAGCTGGAGCAGTCGGAGCGGAAGCTTCAGGAGCGATGCACAGAGCTGAAAGGGCGCCTGGGGGATGTTGAGGGGGAGAAGGAGCGTCTTCAGGCCCTAGTGCGGCAGAAGGAGAAGGAGTTGGAAGACGTGCGGGCAGTGAGTAGCCCCAGTCCCCTCCCACACCCAGACCCCCCCACCCCCTACTGCTGGCCTGCTCACCGCCTCCTGCCACGCAGGTGAACGTGCAGCTCTCTGGTGAGCGCAGCAACCTGGCCCAGGTGGTCCGCCAAGAGTTTGCTGACCGACTGATGGCCTCCGAGGAGAAAAACCGGCAGGTCACAGCCGAACTAGCTGAACTGAGGGCCCGCCAGCAGCTGGAGCTGGACGAGGTGCACCGGAGGTGGGCAGCCAGTGCTGCAGGGGCTGGAGATGGGTAGTAGGCGAGGGAGCAGACAGGACTCACCCTGGTGCCAAGCCAGAGGATGCCATGGTCAAGAGGGCCAGTGGTCAGATACCCTCCTTTTTCCTTTCTGGAATGCAGAGGTGGCCCGTGGGCAGTGTCTGGTGTGGGCTCCAGGCTATGACCAGGAAGACCAGGCTTGTTCCCGCTGGTGGTACTTGGGCCAGGGGCATCAGGCATCCCAGCAGGACTGGGCTCTGCCCTCACCCCAGGAGTACTTAGTGGGTCAGATCAAGCCAAGACCTAGCATGTGGTTCCCCAGGACCCCTGAGGAAAAGTTGGTATGCAGCAAGGGTCCAGCCCCAGGGAGGGCAACAGTGAGCCCCAGGGACCCCTTAGCCCTTCCTGTCACCGACCTGCCATGAACTGCAAGAGGTGGGCATGGGGCTCTCACCTCTCCCGGCACAGCATCCCAGCCCCTGTTGCTCCAGGAAACACTTTGGGTTCTGGCTCCTTAGAGGTGGCATCTTGGGCAGTGAGCAGCCCAGGGCCAGCCATAGGGACCGAGGTCAGCGGGCTGGGAGGCCGATAGGAGGCTGCGTCTACAGGGTGGCGGGGACTGCACAGAGCCCACCATGTGCTGCTGCAGGGTGAAGACAGCCCTGGCGAGGAAGGAGGAGGTGGTGAACAGTCTCCGGAGACAGCATGAGGTGGGTTCCTCTGGGGGGCCTGGGATGGGTGACCTAGGCCTGGGAAGGGTGACCTAGGCCTGACCCTGTATGTGTCACAGGCTGCCGTGAAGCGGGCAGACCACCTGGAGGAGCTGCTGGAGCAGCACAGGCAGCTGTCCCTGAGCACCAAGTGACACTGCCCACCAGCTAGAATATAAGGCCAGAGGTGGACGCTGGATCTTGCCGCTGGCACCTAGGCCATGTCACACCAAGACACAGGATGAGGGGTAGAGTTGATGCTGCTGTGAGGGGCACCCCTGCCGGCCCCCCGGCAGAGCCCCAGTGCTCAGGACGCCGTAGTTCATGCACCTATGGCTGTGTCTTACAGTAAAGGAGGTTGTTGTTTTTAATATTTTGTGTCACCTGCCTTGTCTTTCTCTCCTGGTCTGGGATAGTGGGGTGGCGGGCTGGAGGCCACGGCATGGCCACTCATGGGCCTCTGGCTCTCTCCCTCTCCCTCCTCCTGTCCAGGCTGTCCAGAAAATAGCACTTTGCCAGCAGCTCCCTGGTCAGCCACCACCAGTCCTCCTGCCCTCATCTAATTCCCTGCCTTGCCCTGTGGCCCCTTAGACTCGGCTCCGGTCCCTAAGCATAGAGAATGGCCCTTTGTTCCTGGCCTGGCCCAGTAGGAGCGCAGCAGGACTCACCCGCTGGAAGAAGCACTGAGTCTCCACCCTACCCCTGTGGTAATCACGGCCCCAAGGTGTTGTGGTCCTCTCAGCTGGAGAGAGTCCAGTGGGAGTAGGCACCTACCTAGGAGACCCTCTGGTGAGGAGAGACAGCTGGAAGCCCTCCAGAAATAGGGACTGGCTAGAATAACGAGACGAGTTGCTGGACCATCCTCATATCGTCTACGGCCTGTTACCAAGCATGGAGCTCAGCCCTTTTGCTTGGGCTGTCAGCTCAGAACGTCAGCACCCTTCACCTAGGCCAGGTGGTGAGCTGACCAGGAGCAGGTGGCAATGGTGCTGGGACTTTGGGGTTGGTAGGCATGCTGCCCGGCACTGTCGCAGCATCCTCACAGGCAGGTCAGTTGCCCTGGGCCTCAGTCTCCCACCTGCAGCCAGGTTCCTGGAAGTCCCCATGGGCTGCTGGTTGCTGGGCCTGCTCTGAGGCTGGCTTCTTCCTGGACCCTGTTCCAAGTGTTTTGCCCTACGAGGGCCCAATGGCTCATGCCTCCTCTGCCCAGTGCTTCCTGCTGTCTGAGCCTCTGCCCTGGTCACTCCTGGCCATGAGGTCATATCCTGCTCTGTGCCAGGTCCCTTCCCAGAGAAGAGCTGGCATGGTCCCTGGTCTCAAGGTGACTTCTGGTGACCAGAGTGGTGCAGAATGGCATACCTCACATAGCACAGGGTGCAGACTGCAGGGGCCCCTCTCTTCACTACCCCAAGTTCAGGGGTCCAGACCAGAAGGAAGAACCTAGGACCTCAGGTGAGGCGGGGCTGGCCTGAATGTCCCTCATAAGGACACGTCCCTGGGAGCATGTGTGGACTCAAGACCAAGTGCAAAGCATGTAGGAAGGCCTGGGCACACAGGAGGCCAAGGCCAGCCTCACAGTGTTGGGACCAGAGGGTGTGGCTTTGCCTTGATATTGGGTGTGGTTCCGGGCTCTGTGTCCACAGCGCAGGGCAGGGTAGCATATGACCTCGGTCACCCACAGCACTCCTGGCCCCCAGCTGCCTCCCTTCTAGGCCAGCTTTTTCCCCAGGCTCTCCCACCTGGCCTGCAGCCAGGCCCCTTCTGCAGCTGTTCTGATGGCCAGTTCCAAGGCTGGCCAAGATGGGGAAAGGGCTGACCAGGAGTGAGGACAGGCGTGGGTGCAGAGGAGGTGCAGTTCTTAGCCTCTGGCGTGGCCCAATCCCTCCACCAGCTGCAGCTGGAGCAGGGGGCGTTCAGCTAGGGGAAGTGACTGCTAGTTGCTAAACTAAGGTGTTTTTGCAAGTGAGATATTAAGCAGACATAGTAAAGGGTGACTTCTGACACGGGGCAGGGTCCATGTCCTTCCATCCAAGAAAGGAGACAAGGAAACGGGGGCTCCCAGATAGACAGTCTGACTCCCAGCTTTGGGTTTATAGTTTATAGGTTTCCTGTTGGTTCCTTCACTCCTGAGTTTACTTCCTTCATCCCCGGGTTCATGCACTCTGATTTCTTTCACTAATTTTATCCATTGCTTCCTCCATTGCCGAGCTCATGTATCCATTCATTCTTTCTTTCCTGACTTCATTTGTCATTCCTTCTTCACTGCGTTCATTCCTTCACTCATTCCTTCATCCTCTCCTTTGTTCACTTAAGCCAAGTGCCCCTCCCCGCCATAATTCCACATTTCTGTTCTCACTGGATCTCCTTGGTGGTGTTTTCTGTTTTCTCCCTTCTTTTTCTGCAGTACTGGAGATTGAACCCAGGGCCTTGTACACTTAAGCCACACCCCTAGCCAATTTGTTTTAAATTTGAGATAGGGTCTTACTAACTTTGCCCATCCTTGCCTCTGTCTCCCTAGTACCTGGGATTGCAGGCATTCACCACCACACCCAACAGGTGGTTTTTAATTGAAGTTTTAGTTGTCACATAGAAAGTGAGAAATATACTCTCCTGTCCAAACTCAAAGAACGGACTCAGAGACGTGGAGTACAGCGAAAGTGACTTTTATGGCGATCTTGCAACATCAGGTGCCTGTAGCAGTTACAATAAGCACTATATTGTCTAGTGTGCAAGTCCTCTCCCCTGGTTCCTCACTGACTGACTACTGTGGGGTGTACACTCCCCCCCTCTCCCCATATCACCTAGATTTCCTTTTGGGCTATTTTAAACATGCCTCTCTTGGGATTGGTCAGATTTTAGAGGCAGGTGTCTAAAGGAGGTGGTATCTGCCTGCTTTCTGGCACATACAGTTTTTACCCATTCCTTCACTTTATTGTGATTTACCCCCCCCCCCAGTTTTAAGTTCTCTTATCAGTTGCCCTCCTCTAACATCCACAAGTTGATACATAAGCAAGTGGCTTGGGTTAAATGTCTTGCCTTGAAAATGGACCTTGAAAACTGACTTCATTTCTAACACAGAATGACTTGCTTTCGCTATTAAGGAGCAGGAGTGGGTCTGTGCCTTATCTGTCTACCACCTGCCCATAATCCACGTGGCAGTGTCTCATGTGCCCTGGCTGTGTAGAAATGTGGAGAAGCTGGCATAGTGGGGGAAGGGGTTGCTTTGCCAAGCTGCTTTACCTGGACAGGTGTGCCTCAGGGAAGGGAATGGAATGCCACTTCTGCTTCCTGAGGACAGTGGGGCCTGCTGGGATAGCAGTGGCATGGGTGAGCCTGTGCTCTGGGGTCAGCTGGCCCCAGCTTCCCACCCTGGCCATCCAGCTCCTTCCACTACAGGTAGCTCTAGCACACAGGGGAAGGACAGGACAGGGAGGTAGGACTGAGAGTCAGCCAGCAGGATACCACACTGCGGGGTTCCCAGGGCATGGGAGAGTCAGTGTAACATGATGGGGGTACCCAGACTCTCCTTCACCATCCAGCCTGGTGGGTTGTAGGCACAAGTGGGAGAAGCTTCTGAGCCCTCAGTGAGGAGAGGGCTCCTAGGGAAGAGGTCAGACTCTACACCTCACTGCCCTTGCGGGCCTCATCCTTCCCCAGAGAACCTGCTTCTGAGCCACTCTCCTCCTGAGACAGGAGGAGATACCATCAAATAACTCCTCTGTGCTTAGGACTCAGGGTACAACTGGGCAGACACCCCACCTTTGTGGGGTTATTGTTCCTGCCGTGGGGATGAGCAGACAGCAAAGGACTTATTTTGGAATTCCTTCCGTTTGTTCCTCTCCCTCTCTTTGAGTTTAATTTTCGGTTATCTTTCTAACTTCTTGAGAAGTGTTTTTCCCTTTGAAATCCATGCATTTAAGACTGTTGCTGGGTGTGGCATGCACCTGTGGCTCCAGTTACTTGGATGACCAAGACAGAAAGGTCACGGATCACTTGAGCCCAGGAGTTTGAGAACAGCCTGGGCAGCATAGTGAGGCCTCCATCTCAAAAACAAAGAAAAAAGAATTTCCCTCAAATTACAACTTGAGCTACACCCACAGGTTTTGTATTTTCATTATTCTTAGGTTAAAAATTACCAATTACCATGATGGTTTTTTGAACTGTGGCCTGTCTACATTGCTTATCCTTTTTTTTTTGGTGGACTGTGGTTTGAACTCAGAGCTTCATACTTGCAAAGCAGGTACTGTACTGCTTAAACCACACCTCCAGTCCATTTTGGAGGTGGGGTCTCGTGAACTATTTTGTCTGTGGCTGGCCTCAAACCAGGATCCTCCCCATCTCAGTCTCCCAAGTAGCTAGGATTACAGGTATGAGCTACCTGCACCCAGCTTCTTTTTACTTCTGACTTCTAACTTAGGTTCCCTGTGGTCAGAGGATATGCCCCCTATTACTTCAGTCTTTTTACTTGATACTTGGTACAGTATTTAGTCAATTTTGGTAAATGCTGCATCTTTTAAATTCTTTTAAAAGAATGTGTGAAGCTAGGCGCCAGTGGCTCACGCCTGTAATCCTAGCTACTCAGGAGGCAGAGATCAGGAGGATTGAGTTTCGAAGCTGCCCAGGCAAATAGTTTGCGAGACCCTATCTTGAAAAAAAAAGGACTGGTGGAGTGGCTCAAGGTGTAGACCCTGAGTTCAAACCCCAGGATGGCAAAAAAAAAAAAAAAAAAAAAAGTGTTTTCTGCTGTTCAGTGCAGAGTGTTTCTGTATCAGCAAGGTCCAGCCTTATTGATTTCTTCTCTCCTCACTTTGTTTTCTCTTTCCCTCTCTTTCCCTTCCTCACTCTCTTTCTTGCAGCTCTAGAGATTGAACCCAGGGCCTGGCACATGCTAGGCAAGCACATCCAGAGCTTTTGTTTTTGAGACAGTGTCTTAGTAACTTTGTCCGAGTAGCTGAGATTACAGAAGCACCGCCATGCCTGGCCTCTTTCCATTTTAATTAGCTTCTTTTTGCCTTATGAATTTGAGGCTGTGCTACTGGATGCACACATATCAGAATGATTGTGACCCTCTGTGACTGTGGAAGTACTTCTTCCTGCGAGGTCTCCTTTATCAGATTGTAGCATAGCCACACCAGCTTTCTCTCCTTGGTGGGCTTCTGGAGTCTATCTGCTCTTTTTTTTTTTTTTTTTTATTTCCAACCTCTCTATGGCCTTATAGTTAAGCAAAAACGGCCACAGACAATCTGCAAGCCAGGTTTGGCTGGAGCTTGCTGACCCCTGACTGAGCAGGTTTGTTTTGCTCAGGCGGGCAGTTGGGGAGAGCTG